TTTAAAATGAGATGTTTATCCTGTATTGGATTGTGTTTATCTGCAGTTAGTTACACGAATTCAGTTATGGGATGAAATCGGATAGGGATGAGCGGATTTAAGAGTTTAAGAGTTTAAGAGTTTTTAAGAGTTTTAACCAAATGCTTTATAATATAGTATAGATAACTGCATCCCCATATAAATCCAAATTTTCATCCCCATCTAAAATTAAAAAAAAATGAAAATTCATTACCATTTTTATTATCTCTTATTTTTCATTTTCTTTCACCGTCTTAAACTAAACGCTAATTAAGAATGATGCATTCCTCTTTAAACTAAAGTCACAAGAATCGATACTTGAAGCAAAAATTATGTTTAGGATATCTTAGATAATTGCGATTAGAATATTTCAAAATTTTATCGACTTTTTGATTTTAAAAAATAATCATCGAAACTGATTAAGTTGTCACATAAGTCATAAGATCCCGTACGTAAATTCGTCATATGAATGGCAATGGGTTGGGTTCAGGCTGGTATTGGTATTACTGTCCCTGAAACCGGTAACTAAAACCGTCCATGTAACCGCTTTGATTCCCATCTGGGATCTTATCGGGGACCCTTGTCAGGTTCCCGCGGTTTCCCCGATCCTTGTTGGGGAATCCGTTAAGGGTAAAATTTTCTTTTTCCTGTTGGTTTCTCCGTTCACCGTTTGTTATACCTGAACTCGAAACCTGAACCGATCTGAAAAAATTACAATATGTTAATTTTCACAACTAAAGTAAATTACAATGTTTTTAAATATAGAAGTTTAAATGTCTCAAACATAATCAAACTAATTACAAACAACGTCTTAGATTACAATATAAAAGTAAACAGAAATTCAAACATCATATAACTAACATCATGATTTCACGATTAGAAAAATAAACTAGACTTTTTCGTGAACCTTATTTGAGATGTTGAGGTAAAGTGGATAAAAGATTTCTAAATTTTAATGTTAGTAATTTGTTTAATGATATATATGCATATAAATTAAAGTTAATATATATACACATATTGGGTTGGCCGGGCAGGTGATCATCGGTCCCGCCCCCGTCCCCATCCCCATCACCATCGATTTTTTTTTACCATTCCTAATTTGTCAGCATCCACACAAAAACATATAAATTAGTACCTGAAAAATATTAGTGATGAAAAATAACGATCATCAAAAGATGATAAAACTGAAAGCTACATGTCATTATGGATGCTTATAAAGGCATCTGGAAGTGTTGAAAATAAACTAAGAGCCGTTTATCAAACATTTACCAGTAAGCATCTAACGGTAAATTCAACATTATCATTTATTTACCGGGTAATATTTTAGTCAACAAAAAACGGTTTTTTATGCAACGAATTACCCGGTAAGAGCTGACCGTGGTAAGAGTCGTTGCCCTCACTTACCGGGTAAGACTCTAGGTCATCGTCTCGCTCTTACCAGGTAAGATTTATGGTCCTTTCCATGTTCATCCGATAAGGTAATGTAACTTGGTAAGCGCTTATTTGAAGTTGAAAAAATTAAAATTTGAATTTTATAAAACATTTTCAAATTAAATGCTTGATAATTCCACGTCATTTGTATAAATTAAACGGATTTGATAAAAATTTGGTCCCTATGGTTTGTTGAAAATAGCATTCTTTCGTCTTTGCAGTTTTAAAAATTACAAAAATAACCATTATGTAAAAACGTTCGAATTTAGTCCCCATTAACACCTCGTCAAATTCCATCTTCAGTCATCTTCTCTCACGTTCCCTTCTTCAGTCATCTCCTTCGGTGCACCCCCCCCCCCTTTTTCCTGGTTCCCTAATCAAACACAAACTCGAACTCTGAACCCATGGAAAACAAGATTACGGTTATAGGTTCAGTTATCCAAATCAGTATTTTATGATTGCATAAACACAGGCACATACATTTTCTTCCCTGATAACTTCACTTCACCAATGGCATCGTCCTTTTCTCAACACATGTTTTATATTTATTAAATAAAATATAACTTTGATCATATATCAACACGTATGATATTTTCAAATCCAAATTAGTAGTAACTAATTATGAAAACGGGTCTTTAGAACAGAACACGTGATAGGATGAAAAACGAGTCTGCAGTATGTGTTCTTTAAAGACAACAGCATCAAAAATGATGATTATGAGAAGGGAAAAAAAAGATTGTGGTTAGATGGTAAGGTTGTCTAGTAATCGACGAGAAAAAGGGGAAAGAAGATGTAGGTAGTAGGTCGAGGAAGAAGAGATTAAGGGGTTGTTTGGTAATTGCGGAATAGTTTGATGCATAATGATTAAGTGGTCAAGGTGATTAAGAGGCTCTCATGATATATTGCAAAATGAAATATAATTGTTTGGTAATTGTTTACAATGAAATTATAGCACTAAATGGTTATGGGAGACCCATGATTCAAAATCATTCCGAGAATTTTAGAACCACTAAGAGACAAACTTTTTTCCCCAAACAAGATTCACCTCTTAACGATTCAGATGCTGCATCTTAATGAAACTATTAAGAGGTAAACAAACAACTCCTAAGATGCAACATACGGTTGGTGCTAATAGTGCTTCGGTGCTTTGGTCGTCTTTAGCGAAAAGGGTAAGGGGCGTCATAGACGATGCCAATGATGTACGAGGTTGGGATGAGTTTTATTATTCAATTGAAAAAAATGTTACGAGGGTGCGACAGGGTGCGTTTTGACTAAAAAACACATGGAATGTTTATGATGAATTAGTTTTAATTATTAACAGAAAACTAAATAAAAGTAAATAGACTAGAAATTACAAACCACAAGGACTAAAATTGTAAATTCAAAAACATATAAGGGTAAAAATAGCAAATTGTAACAAAGCAAAGGGACTAAAAGGGTAGTTTAGGCTTTAAAAAAAGAATTGATTTGAAAGGTGGTTTTTTTGGACAGTGAAATTAGGGTGGGAAGACAAGCGAAATGGCGGAGAGTAATAAGAGGGGTGGCAGGTCGACGTGCGAATCGGTTTGTCAACCGCGTTGGGACACAACACAGGTTAAGGATGGAACATTCTGCATTCATCGTCTCTCGCCATTTTCCTTCATCATTACCCTTTTCCTCTCTTTCTCTCCCGGAATCATCTCTAGGGTTTAAGATCCTCGCTTTTCTCCCATTCTTCTTTCGGAAATTCGTCCCAGCTTTCTTCCTAATCATTCTGTTCAATTGCGATCGTCTTTGCTAGACACAATTAATCGATCGGGGCTTTCAAGAAAGTCTGTGGAGAATTTTCGGAGTTGAATGAGGAAATCTTTTTTTGTTGGATTCTATTCAACAACGGTTGTTCCCCAAGATACGTTTCTTGTTTAAACAATATTGCGCAAGGTGATCGAAGCCTAAATTGGGTAAAACTCATTTTTTAAATCTGGTCTTTTTATTTTTTATCATACATAAGCTATTCACTGTGGCCGGAGGGAATGATTTTCTTTGAAAGAAGATTCGTCATTCGTGTAAATTTCCATGCATGATCTAGGTTTGACGCTGGAATTGTCGAGAGATCGATCAAGAGGGAAGAACAAGATTATTTATCGGCCCCTCCCCTAAGTTTGACGGATACATCAATTAGCGCGACCTTGGGTTAGAAATCATCAACTTTTGGATAGAAAAGACGTTAACTGCATCGTGATCGTTTGGATTATTTAAGAGTTAAACTGCTCTATTTAACATGAATTCAATTAATTAACCTCTTGTACGGATAATGTCAGATAAAACAACTCCTTTTAGTTCCATCAAATCACGGCCTGCGGATTATAGGTTTATGGATTCAGATGGAAAGTCTAGAAACCGTAATGGCAGTATGATCTCTGATAATGATGGTGCATCCCGTAATGACAACATTCATCAGGTCGATGGTTCACGATATGGTCATGGCTCTACGTTAATGATGAATGAAAGACCTTCCATGGATGATAAAGATGTGAATCCATCAACTTCTCATCAAAAATTAATTTTACCTTCACGGGGCTGGGATGATGTCTCTGTGTACAATGCGAAGAAGGTAACCTGGTTCGCAGCTCTTTACGGGTTTACGTGTCCTCTTGTGCACATTTAACCAGGATATACAACAAGTCACTTATCCTAAGTTAGCTGTGCTATTTCATGATATCCATACTGCAAAGTATCATTTCGCGTTATTTGTTTTGTGCATGTGGTAGTGTCTCAATATTTGTTGCCATAAGGCTCTCTTGTCAAACAAACATGTTTCTTCATAAAATTGCAAGTCACATGTAAGAAAAAATGATTTATACATTTGAGGAGGGGAACACTTGGTTGATTGGCATTCTCTGAGCCAATGAGTGATGAATGAATGGCGAGGTAATTTTGCTTGTTTAAATTGAAAAGGGTTCTTGAATATAGATGTATTCTATTACTAAAAAACATATACCAAGAGTCTTATTTCTTCCAGTCCAAGGGTCTATCTCTGCCAGACTATTTATTTCTTCCAATTCAAGGTGTAGAAGTCTTGAAGCCAATCAGCACACTATGATTCTTAATCAGAGTTCCTCTGGTTAAGAAGGATCGCCAGTCTACCCTACAACAGTACAACCATTGTTTTGGACTATTGAGAGGACACTTCTTAATTTTCTTTGGCTTTTTGTTTTTGGTTTAGTTGGATGTCACAAGTTTTGTCTGTAGTGAAATGGATTTTCTGGAAAATTTTGGGTTTCTTCCATTGTGTTAGCTGCATAACTATTAGAAAATGTGAGCGGCATTGTTCCAAACATGGACATCTTTGATGCAAGCTTGGCTCTTGCACAGGTGAGACATATAGCAAATGTGCCGATAGCTGACATCCTAATAGCTATTTGTGTGGACCACAGTCTATATCTATATATTAGAGTCGTCTAGTGGATGAGTTTGTTACTGAAGCTATGTAGGAACCATAGGCATTTTCAGGTCAAGGACAAAGGATATCTTTAGGAATGTCTATGTCTTATAAAACTTGGTCATGTGGATAACAAGCTTCAGTAATATGGAAGCTGTATGTATGTCACGGATAGCTTGCTGATACTGTTGCAACTGGGGTTAGGCGTTGAATCAACTTGTTTTTATCGTATCTTTTTGGCGCTACCAAGTGTTCCTGTCATTAGAAGGGCAGACAAATACATAACTACAGTTGTACTATGTAAACATGTACAGGCAATTCTAGTGTGTCATATTGTTGATATTTTGACTTTTACGAAATTATTCGTGTATCTGTTGCTCTTTATATCTGTGGTTGTACTAATAATTCAGACGCAAAATGCTTGGTTTCAAGCCCCTGATGGGAACTGGGAATTGGCGAAGATTTTATCTGTTTCAGGGACTGAGTCACTCATATCATATTCTGAAGGAAAAGTAAGCTAGATCTTAAAGATCTTAAGTAATTGCCTTTATATGGAAGTTCAAGCAATGAGTTTTGATGTTTTGTTCTCGATCTAGGTATTAAAGGTGCAATCTGATAGTCTGTTACCTGCAAATCCAGAAATCCTTGATGGGGTAGATGATCTCATGCAACTAAGTTATTTGAGCGAACCATCGGTCTTATACAATCTTCAATATAGATATGATCGAGACATGATCTATGTAAGAACTTGTAACTCTTTAATGGTTTGAATGTTATGCTTGGAATGAAGCTTGTATTATTGTTCTGGTGACATATTTTTCTGTCTTCTAGTCAAAAGCAGGACCTGTTTTAGTTGCCATCAATCCCTTTAAGAATATTCCATTGTATGGGGATGATTATGTCGAAGCCTATAAGAGGAAATCCATTGATAGCCCTCATGTATATGCCATTGCTGATACAGCTATGCGAGAGATGATTAGAGGTTGTTTGAATATCATTGTAAAGTCTATTATTGGATTCAATGTGGGTGTTTTATCATTTATGTATTTCTCTTTAATAACCCCTTTTCTGTTTTGCAGATGAAGTTAACCAATCTATTGTGATAAGGTTAGATAATTTATCCTAATTGAACACATATATTCAGTTTTTCTGTTCTTTTCACTCTTATATTCACGTTGTTGATAGACATGTACCTTCTTACAATTTCTGCATCACTTCATAATGTGTTTTCCCGGAATTTGATTGATGTTAAGAGAAATAATTAGAATATGTGGTAGGAACTGTCCTAAGCAAAAAAGAACTAGAACTATAGAACATCAACCCTTGTTGAGTGGTTACCCATTATGGACTCGTCATACATATCATGCCACTTAATCTTGGAACAAACTGAGGATATAATTTGTCCTGGAACAGTAAAATACATTGTGAGAGTATTCTTCATTCTTACATAGATGTCTAGTTTGAATTGGTAGTAGTCCTGTATGTACGTTGGTACTCAATTACTTTTTACCATGATTTATATTACTGCTTTACTAGCATGAATGGTTACAAAATGTAGATTTGTTTTGATATCTAATCTAAATTAGAGGTTAGTTAAGCATGTATTGAATTTTATTTGAATGTAAGCAAAGGTTCACACGAAGTTTACTAGGGAGATCAAGTTGTGTGGTTGAAATTGTTGTTCTTCAGGTCATTTTTGGATTTAGAGGCACAATATTTTCTTTAATTTTTTTTATGTATGATGTGGTAAGCAACTAGGCAATTCACCTGAATCATCTTTGTCAATCAGTAGGCAGGGATGGGACACCATCATTACTTGTCCTTTTGATGGCGTTGTACCTTAATTACTCATGCCAGCCTATTCTACTCGTCATCAACATAAGAAGTCATGTTTAGTACTGCATAAAGGGTTGCAGGAGGTACCCTACAGCTGAAAAAAACATCTAAACAAGTGGAGACGAAACACCTAGCAATCATAGGGCCTATGTTATGCATTATTTGGTGTGGAGTAGGCGAAAGCTACTTTATTTTCCTCTGATTCACATAAAACGAATTGCTTAACTTTATTACATTGTTTATTAAGAAGTTCCGAACTTTGTTGATTGTTGAGATTATAATTCTACCTTGTTATGATTTTTTGGATGAAACAAGTTTAATAGATATTGTTTATATGAAAGAAAGTATTTACTGCTGTATAGAGCATTCATGCTATGCATCTAATTTGTACCCTTTATTTCTGCCTAGTGGTGAAAGTGGAGCAGGAAAAACTGAAACAGCGAAGATAGCAATGCAATATTTAGCTGCAGTTAGAGGCGGCAGTGGAATAGAATATGAGATACTGAAAACCAATCCAATTTTGGAGGGCTTTGGTAATGCGAAAACATCAAGAAATGACAACTCAAGTCGTTTTGTAAGTTCCTGTTTCTATATATTTTTTAGGATTACAAATGCAGAAAAAGACATTCTGTATAAGAACATGAAGCTCTAGTCTTCCTAATATTTACACCTAGTATCCCGTGATAAATATTGATCTATATTTCAGGGGAAATTAATTGAAATCCACTTCAGTGAAACTGGGAAAATATCGGGTGCCAGTATCCAAACATGTAAGATGCCATCTCTCTAAGGCCATTAAATGAAGCTTGTAAGTTTCTTTGCAATTTATCTGAGGGTGAGTACTGATTGTTTTCTGTGATGTTTTGTGATTTCTAATTGTTGCAGTTCTTCTTGAAAAGGTACAAATCTGATCTTCTACGCTTTCATCCATCATTCTTCATATAACAAGCCACTTACCTGTTTATTTATGATCAGTCAAGAGTTGTTCAGTGCACGGAAGGGGAAAGGTCATATCATTCGTTTTATCAGCTTTGTGCAGGAGCTCCACCTTCTCTTAGAGGTAGCATTTCATAGCCTTACCCTCTTTTGCCATGTTGGTTGTCCTATTTGCCATTTTAGCCACTCTTATTTGATAGATTATATGAGATCTCATAGGTCATTCTAGTTCACAGAATATTCTGTATCATCTATCATGGGTGCTCTCTCTTTATTGTTTGATAATCACAATGTTTATGTTCTTCAATGACTTTTTGTGTATAATACCGACAATAATTCGATGATCCTTTGCATGCTTAATGGATAAATCTGCTCATGTCGCAACTTCTTATATGTTGAATATCCTTTTGTCTAACCAATGGCTGGGTGTTCAATGAAAATTGAAGCATATGGTCGTGGGATTTGTTAAAATGCTATTAGTAACAATAATAATATTATACTTTATTTCCAGCAGGTTCTGTGGGTTTTGGCTGATTTTTGTGTTATTGATAAGCAAGTTGTGCTTGTAGTGGAATGAACTGAATATACTAAAATCTCTTTCATCTTGTTTCAAATGGTTAATCCATTGTTCATGGATGCATCCTTGAACAAGTTATTCACAATACTGAAGCATCTTCAATCACAACCTTTTCAGTTATGGCTTTTACTCCAAAAAGAGTTACTATTAGATCATTATTTGTCTTTACCCAGGACATGTCTGTTTCATGATCTGTTATTTATTATGTACCTGTAGCATCATCTTTCATCACAGCCTGAGTTATGACTTTTACTTGAGCAAAGATCACTATTAGATCATTGTCTGTTTCATGCTTTGTCATTTGTGGTATTAGTAATATGAGTTAGCACACAGAAATTGATGCATCCAACAGGGCATACACGCACATCTTCTCATGCTGACTTTTATGTTTGAATATACTTCATTTGAGGCATTGTCTTAAACTGGAAAAGTAGGCGTGGAATAGATGCTCCAACAGACCAATTTGAAGTAGACCTGATTGTTGCTTTTAATCTGTTGGTTTACTACTGAATTTGAAGTGTCACAGTTCTGATTGTTTAAGCCTTCAGGTCCTTGCCATTCTCTTTTTTGGTTAATTTTGTCATGTATGTGTACTCTGTGGCAGAGAAATTAAACTTGAAGAGTGTGCATGACTACAAGTATTTGCAGCAAAGCAATTGCTATACGATCCCTGGGGTTAATGATGCTGAACAATTTGGTATTGTAATGGTACTGTATCTCTCGTCTTTATATGGCCTAAAATTAGTGATCAGTTTGTCATTCCCAGAAATCTGAATCGACAATCTTACACTTCCGTTATCTAAAGAGATTAGTTGCTTTTGTTTTCACATTAGTGTTTCCTTCTTTCAGGAAGCTCTGGATGTTGTTCATGTTAGCAAAGAGGACCAAGAAAATCTTTGTGCAATGCTTGCAGCAGTGTTGTGGTTGGGAAATGTAACTTTTGCAATTGTTGATAATGAAAACCATGTGGAACCTGTGATTGATGAAGGTAAAATAACCTTCACAAAGTCCAGCTTAGTAATCGCTTCTATCATGGAATAGTTTTTGACTGGTTAATGAAATCCGTTTTAACTGGGTGCTGTTTCTTTGATTAATAGTCAGTTTTATGTGCTTGTCAGCTTGGTCATTTTAGTCCCTTACCAAGCAGTGCTCTTTTTTTCTATTTGGTTCTCACACAGAAAAAAGTCGAGCCATGCCTATTCTTTTAGGTTCAAACATGCTTGTGAACACGTTCAGTTTAACTCTTATGTGGGCTAATTTGCATAAATCAGAGTAGGCCGTCATTTTGAAGTTTGATACGCTTATTATAAATATAACCATATTAGAGGTACTTGAGTTCGAAGAGATATTACTCGTATGGTTCTTTCATGGGGCAGACTTAGTTACAGATGTGGGGATACTCTTCACTTTGTTTGTAGAATGGAATTAATGGGGTTTGGTGGACTTGCAAACTAAATAGCTTTCTGCAGGAATTCAGTTAGTTGTAATTTATTCTTATTTTTGTGAAATATTTATGAACAAGCCTAGAGATTGTCATCCTTTATGAGGTGTTCATTGCATGACAGTCTCTTTCATTTGCTTTCACTGCAAAATAACCGTTCTCAATTTTTGGGATGTCATGCCAGAAAAATTGCTCTCTTGGTCTCATCGAGTTCTAGACATAGAAGTTTTAGAAGTCATAAAAGTTTATGTACATTGACCTCTAAGCACTCTCAAATAGATATTTTTCTGCACTTGTTGCAGATCACTTTGATGCCATTTGGCTTGGTTCAGGTTGTACTTGATAATCATGATTGAATAAGCATATAGAAGTTTTAATTGTCTGGAGAACTAGATATTACTTCCCTTTTAACCAGATTAATTGCATGACAAAGTTACTGCTACATTCCTTCTATGATTTCACTTTGCATTCATAATAGGTGTGCCATGTCAAAATAAAATGCTGCGAGTATATATCATGTCTTTGTCAGACCTTGATCCATGTTTGTATTGGATGGCTAACAGAACAGAAATAATGTCTTCCACAATAATTTTACAGGATTGCAATATGGTACTCATCTTTTTTTATGAGCTAACCTTTGTTTGCTTGATTGCTTTATGGAATTATCCACACTTGAAATATGACATATGAGCATTTTATATGACTCCTTGTTATCCAAATATCAGTCAACTGACTCCACTAATATTGCTTTGTTACAAAGTTATTGACACATGCAGATAATGAGCTAGGCTTCTGACCACCAACAGTATATTGTTAGTGACTTGCTGCATGTTGATCCCATATATTTTGATTTGATAAATACATATTTGCTTGATCTTCTTGAGGTTTCCATGTACAAATGATAACATGATGTCTATGACAGCTCTTCTAACTGTTGCTAAATTGCTTGGGTGTGGGGCTGAGCAACTACAGCTTGCTTTATCCACTCGGAAAATGACTGTTGGTAGAGAGAAAATTATTCAAAAGCTGACCCTAGCCCAGGTAACAGAATTAGTAGATACAAGCATCATATGGTGTGGATAAGACCAATCAATATTATGATACTGAAAACCCTTATCTTTCAGGCGATTGACTCAAGGGATGCATTGGCAAAATCAATATATTCTGGTTTGTTTGATTGGTTGGTGGAACAAATCAACAAGTCACTTTCTGCGGGGAAACGTAGGACTGGAAGATCTATCAGTATTCTTGATATCTATGGATTTGAATCATTTGATGTTTGTCCTACAGTCACTCGGTTTGTTGTCATTTCTTCTTATGGTATTTTCTGTGGTCAAATGATTGACCTTTCTTCTTTGACATATATAGGTAAACAGTATAGAGCAGTTCTGCATTAATTATGCAAATGAGAGATTGCAGCAACACTTTAATCGGCATTTATTCAAGTTAGAACAGGAGGTAACTATTCCATCTGCTGTCACAATTACATATTATGTTTACATGAAAATTATTCTAGGTTTCAGTTATTCTTTATGTAAACGGCAACCATCTTCGGATAAGTAGCTTCTGGAGCGGATGAGGTAAGGTGAGGCAAATTTGGAACCCATCGTGATGATTATTTATCTGTTTAGATTTTCAAATTATATTTTTATTAAAAATTGGACCACATTATGGGGCTTGAGGCACAAATGTTATCTGTTATTGTCTTTTTAAGTTTGTTTGGTTTTGATTGATATAGTAAATTTCAATCCTCTTCAAGAAGAATCAATAGGGGAATTCAGTTGTATTGAGGTTGTCTCTATGTTTCTACTCTGTAAACCAGCTGAGAAATTATGCACAGAATAGGCCCCTGTCAGTTTATCCTCATTTGTTTCTTTCACTTATTTCTGTTTGCAGTTATATATTTTATACGATTTTTATTTGATTTAACGGCGAATATGAAAATTTTAGGGAAAATGGGCGCAGGAGTTGGAAGTCAAATGGAACAAACCGACTTGAAAATAGGATGTATTGAGGATGCATTCACATTTCCCTAAAAAAAGGAGGATGCATTCACATTTCTGGATTAGTATATTTGACAAATATGTGATCAACATTATCCTGTTCCTAACCAACTCAAATTTATATTCAATATGTAATTGTCCAAAATGAACTAAAATGATAACCAAAGAAAATTAATTGAGTAATCAGATGGATTAAACACTTACTGAAATTGATAGCACGAATACCAAAAATAAAAAACCACTGAGTTGCCTTGCCTTGTTCAGTCCATGGCGCAATATGGGTGTGGTTGGTACGTTGACAAGACTGAACAGGACTGAATGGGATGGGCAAGAGTGAGGTAGGCAGGTGAAACTGTATAACATGGGTAGTTTAGTAATTTACCAATCTTGTCCCATGTCCCTTATTTTTGTTCCACCTATTTTGGCGGGACGAAAAAAATGAACTTCTGTCCCACCCGGTCATGTATTTTCCAGTCTAGTGTCATGCCAAAATTGAGACAACAAGTTCTTGTTCTGCTCCGTCTTGTCTTGTGTATCAAATGCACCCTATAGGTGAAAATACATTTTGATTTACTTTTAACAAGCTCGCATGTTTGTGTACTTGCTGCATAATGCAAGGCCTAAAGTACATCCGATATCCGTCTGTTTCATAGTTTAAATTCTTTTTGACTTTGCTACTTAGTCTTTTTTAGTGTTTTTCCATTTGACGTGTTTCAAGATAATACCTACTGAAGCCTGCTTGAAATTTTTTCTAGCAGTATTTCAATATCTACTAAATGCTGGTGTCCACTTCTTAGGAATATATCCAAGATGGCATCGACTGGGCAAAGGTGGATTTTGAGGACAACCAAGATTGTCTCAGTCTTTTTGAAAAGGTTTTTAGACTTCCTGTAATCTATTTTACCTTTTCACATGGAAATTTGTTTCTCAAGTATCTTAACATATTTGTTGATTTATCTTCTGGACATTATCCATCTCATGTAATGACAAGTTATTGCTGCTCCTCCTGCTTTCTTTAGCAAAGAAAAAGTTATTTCTGCTTTCATAGTCATAAAATGTAAGATTTGAAATCCTGCTTGGATGTGTGATAAAGTCTCGAGACCAATTGATAACAATATAGCAACATAAGAATTAAGCCTTCTATCCCATGCTAGTTGGGTAGGCTGAAAATGAAGCCCATGAGGAGAAAGTGAGGAAGTCTCTAGGCTCTCTGAAACATGAATAGCATCCTTCCATGCTCTGCTATTTGGTATCAATTGTGTAGATACATTCCAGTACTTCATAGGTGGATGTGTGATGCCACTGGCCTCTGTGGTGTGACTACGCACTCCGCTCGTATGACTTCACAATCTATCAATGAGTATAATCCTCCCTTAGTAAGTCGAATGTCTACTGGGCTAGAGTTTTGGTTACATTAAAGGGTACTAGACATGACTCTTTTCCAGAAAATTCTTATGACCATCAAACCGTAGGCCAATCCAGAATGGATATCTTCTCCGGAACTCCTATTCCCATGTCCAAAACCTATCCCTTCTACATTATGTTACCAACATGACCATTAAAATCCTTTCCCATACAAAGTTTGAAGCATGGTTGAGGATGAGGGGCATATGCATTAATGCCACTCATAACAACCTCGTAACGATCCTAACCCACTTTCATACAACCGTAACCATTCAATTTCTTAAGCTCTTATTTGTTAAAATCCTACTTGAAATCAACTTACTTTTTCCTGGCAATAACTTAAAACCTGTATATTAGTTTGCTTAGCATTTTCACCTATCCACGTAGTGTCTTGAAAGCTCCTAATATTCACTTATCTTATTTAGGGTATCAACTGACTCCCTGAAGTAAAAACTCTACATTCCAGCCAAACACAAATCCTAGTGTACTAAACTAACTTCTTTACCCTGTACTCGTCTAGGAGAGTATGAAGATCCACACTTATTCCTTGGTGGCAGGTCACTGATGTTGTGCAGCAGTTGGGGACTGCATCCCAACTCTTGCTTATGTAACACAGGAAATTCATGGCCTAATGTAGTCCATCATTATGTGGATTATGCCCTAACAAATTTATGTGAGGTTCAATTTCAGTAAGGATAAATTATTATTTTGGCCTGCAAACACTACCATATCAATGTTTTTTACCCTAGCCTGGGATAAACCACATAAACAAGATGGATGGAGTTGATACTTGATAGCAATGTAGCATTAGCCACATGATACTTTGTTTATTTCTACGAAATTTAAGAATATATATTTCTTTTAGGTGCCAACATGGACTCCTGGTTATAGCTTTAAGGTTTTTTCACATAAAATTCTTTGTTTTGCTAAAATCTTTACTTCTGTTTTGCTAAAATCTTATGCCTTCTATTTCCCGTGTCCACATATCAAGGACCTTGACCGCTTGATTGAAGCATCTGTTTTGTCTTTTTACAGAAACCATTGGGATTACTAAGTCTCTTAGATGAAGAATCCACATTCCCGAATGGAACAGACTTGTCATTTGCCAACAAGCTAAAGCAGCACTTGAAGTCTAATCCTTGTTTTAAAGGAGAACGAGGCAAAGCGTTCACAGTTCGCCATTATGCTGGGGAAGTATGCACTTCTTTAGATATCATTCTTCTTGATCCATCTGTTTCCACATTTTGTACTTGTTATTACCTTTTTCTCCCATGAATACTTGCCAAATAAAATTATGACATACATGAGGAATTGAGGATAGTAGATGACAAGATGCTCTTGCCAAGAAATAGAAGTGGAACAAGAAAGGAGAGTTCAATGAATATACATCTTCATGAAAGAAACTTGTTAATCTACCTGTGCTCCTTTCTGCATGTCATTGATCCTTTTCTAGAAATAACAGAGAGAAGAAAATAGAGTACTCACACGGGGATAGCAGGTGACAAGATGTCCAAAGACAATTTAGAAGAGAAAGGGGGCTAAAGGAACATGACTGACCAATTTTTACATAAATCTGATAAAGGAACAGCCTAAATGCAAATGAGAGTAAACATCTACTTACTTTTCATGTTAATACAGAGAGTTCCTCATCATGGGGTTCTTGATTAATGTAATCAGTAATGCTGTTTTTTTTCCCGGTACTGATTTCCAAGAGCAAAAGGATATCAATTCCATCTGTTTGTGTACACCCCCCCCCCCAAAAAAAATGGTTTGATTTGGTTTATTGTGAAAAGAACAAAAGCTAAATACTTGCGAGTTTTTATACATGTTTTTGCTGTCTAACAGTTATGCTCTCATTTGTTCCTCTCAGGTTACTTATGATACAACTGGGTTCCTGGAAAAAAATCGTGATTTATTGCATTTAGATTCCATTCAACTTCTGTCTTCATGCAAATGCAAACTTCCTCAGATATTTGCTTCGAATATGCGTTCTCAGCCTGAGAAGCCTGTGGCTGGTTCACTAAATAAATCAGGTGGAGTGGATTCCCAGAAGCTTAGTGCCATGTCAAAATTTAAGGTATGTTCACTTCCAGCTTCTTTGAACACAAATTTTTTGTAGTCATCCTTTTCAATATTACAACAGGTTCTATATGCTTTCATATAAAGTATAAACAGGTTTCTATATATTTTGAGTCTGGAATAATCGTAGGATTGTGGAACCATCTATGGCTGATGCCTTTATGATTTTGATCAAATTCCATTTTGTCTTGTTGTAGCATGTTTTTATTCTTTATTATTCACGTACACTCACTGATAAGTTGCATTATATTCAGGCCCAGTTATTCCAGTTAATAAAATGTTTGGGGAATACGAGATCACATTTCATACGTTGCATTAAGCCCAATAACACCCATTCTCCTGGAATTTACAATCAAGGACTTGTACTGCAGCAGCTAAAATGTTGTGGTGTTTTAGAAGTTGTTCGAATATCAAGATCTGGCTATCCAACAAGAATGACCCATCAAAAATTCGCAAGGAGGTAAACTTTCTAGGGTTTATTTGTTCCACAACATGTGATGCGTTCTTTTTATTATTTAAGTGTAACATTTTTTCTACTCTTCTTTGACTCAATGATTCTGCGTTAGGTATGGATTTCTTCTTCTCGACCATGTTGCCTCACGAGATCCACTAAGTGTGTCAGTTGCCATTCTTCAACAATTCGGTATCCTTCCTGAAATGTATCAAGTTGGCTATACAAAGTTGTTCTTTCGAACTGGACAGGTTTGTCTAATATTTTGATTTCTTCAGTTATCTATTGGTTAAATAGCAATGCCCCTTCTTTCTTTTTTAGTCATTAGATTGTCACTATTGCATATGCCCATTACTTATAACTGGGTCATTGATAGTGCAGGAATTTTATTGAGTAGGGTTGCAATTTGTTCTACTAAAGATAACAAAAATGCTGCAAATATAAGTTTAAATCATATTATTCAAACATCGTAAGAATCTCATACAATACAAAGTAAACTGAAAAGGTCATTACAAAACCATCCTTTGAGATCCATCCCATGATATTACTGCATTGTTTTTTCATCGTTGAATCCCAGATTATATCAAATACTAAACATTTGAACTAAATTAACATTAAAGCATTGCCTATTTGGGTAGAAGAGAGTTGGTCAGGTCTTTTTTTTTTGGGGGGGGGGGGGGTAGTGGGCTGACTAGGCTAGGGATATTTTTTCTGCCTTATTTGTTCTGTGTGAGCTTCCCTTTTATTGTCTTTTCCAATGTTCTCATTGTACCTTACCTTTATGTCTACATCTCACCTCTCCCAGACCCTACTTTCGAGTGGGATTTACTGGGTAGGGATGGTTTGGTTTGGTTTGATTTTAACATGCAAACTTGAAATTTGAAACAACCTGGTCCGATTTCCCAAATTATCTTTGACAAAGTTTAATAAGCTAATGTTGCATATGGATTGCAAGTTGATTATCTTACTTTTCCTTGTCCATGGCATTAAGCTATCAACAAGTTTGAGGCTATGAGTGTTTCTTTAAATCGTCATAAGTTAGAACTTACTTGAATTATTAGTTCAAATATAGCAATAATCAACAAAAACATGTTGGAGACGATAAAACATAAATACCATCGGATCACAAACATTTAATAGTGTCTTGCAATGATTTCTCCTTTTTTGTGAATGAAAGATAAAATAACAGAAACTTTGTAATCATTTGATTTGCATGTGTTTAATAACAAGGATACACATTCTCAATGGAAATTACTCCTTCCGTGCTTTATTATCTGGGATCCAAAAACTTAAAATTTCAAATTAACAACTAATTCTAGAATCGATAAGAATATGGAGTGTTTATTTTTATTTTGAGGGGAAATATCAGTAACTACATTAACAGGTACACAAGTATTATAAGAGTATAAGGAATTGATGTTAAACATTGTAGAAAAGCAAATAATTACAATCTCGTTAAATTAAAGTTTGACGTTCAAAGTCAAAGTAGGACAACTAACATTGAAAACGGTGTAACATAACTGTGAAAATAAGGAATAGATACGTGAGAAAATATCAAAAACTTGCATATGGATTAAATAGCATACCTAAAAAGAGTGTGTATGTGTGTGATAGAGAGATCAGAAAGTGGGAGCAATTATGATACACATTCAGTTGTACTACTAGTTTACTATTGTAACATCAAAATTCAAACACACCGGTACACTGAGAAGCAGAGAGGAGGAGAGAGCTGGTCCAAAGAAATTTTGTTGATTATTTGCTTAGAGTTTGAGAGGCTTGCTAAATAAGAGAGTGGGGTGACTTTGACTAAGTGAAAGTTTTCTTTAAGTATCTCTTTTCTGCGTCTGTAAGGAGGAAGTCAGCAAGTGCATTTGCAGTCGCTGAACCCATGATGCCACGCCAATGCACCTAATTTGTTTTTACTTGTCATATAAGGGGTTACTTTGAGCCTTGTCTTTTCTGCACTTGAACTTCTTGTAACACTAGTTCTTGCCATGTAAACCTTTATCCAAAGTTGATAGGTATCAACAGCTGCACAGGCGCACTAAGGGGCTGTTTGGTTGGTATGGATTGGGAAAAAGCTGTCCTTGTGGATTAATCTATCTGTATGGATTGGAAAGGTTTTGTTTGGGAGGGGTTCTTCACAGATGGAAGGAGCGTGTTTTTAATTGGGAGGGGCAGGCTTGAAAAAACTTGGCTTTCTGCATAAACTCTCCCCTAGAAGCTTACTGAATAAGCCACTTTCTATATCATTAAGCCACTACCAAACAACCATGTATAGCTGACCAAATAAACTGTGAGTCCCATTAAGCTCATTAAGCTGCCAACAAACAGGCCCTAAGTTTTTTAAAAACCAGGATAAACCAAATAAGATTTAGGTTGGAATGGATCTGTCTAGCTGCAGTTTTACAAATTCCATTCATAGAAAATATTTCCTAGAATCAGATTTGCCCCTATTATGGAGATTGAAGAAGAAATGTTACTCATGCTTTCTTTCAACCTGATGGTAGTAAACATATGAAGGTTATATAGGATGTTAAAGCCTAGCAATAAGAGAACACTTTATCAGTTTGAATCCTGGCCCAGCCAGAATTAGTAATGAAGTGGTGAAAGCTATACATGCAAATTTCAGAACAGTAACTGAGACCAATGTACTAATTTTTTCTCATTCCAACATTAAAAGCATTCTAAGGCATGACATTGCATTATATTCTGTAGTTACCAAAACCAGTACCATTGATCTTTTCTAATAACTTAACCAGTGATATCGAGCCTAGAAAAGGAAAGAAAGAAGTTCCAAAACCTCTGGTGGAACTACTTTATTTATTTATGTCAAAGATGTTGGAGTCCCACATTGGCTAGACTTGTACCATTTCTCCTGTATATATGTTGGAACCTCCCCTTCTCCTCAATGGCTCTTTTGGAGAGTGATATGGGGGTTCCACATATTCTCACATGGTATCGGTCTATCAGAGCCAAGGTCTGCCACTCTAGGGACTCGACACTCTGAGCTAACCCCCTCTCGACACCCAAGGACAATTTGTGTCCATCTAGCCTCCATTGGAGGGGGCGTGTTGGAGTCCACATCGGCTAGACTTGGACCATTTGTCCTGTATATTTGTTGGAACCTCCCCTTTAGCCTCCGTTGGAGGGGGCATGTTGGAGTCCCACATCGGCTAGACTTTTGGAGCATTTGTCCTATATATATGTTGGAACCTCCCCTTTCTTTTCAAGGGCTCTTTTGGATCTGGGGGTTCCACATATTCTCACAAAAGACAAGCCTTATGAACTTCTGGGAATGGAATATCGTGTTCTTTTAGTTGGTGATGAGTATTTTTTGTTGAACATTTCGTGTTTGTGGGTGATGAGTATTTTTGATTGACCGGTCTTATATGTTTGCTGTCATGATATGCCAGATTGGTAGGCTTGAGGATACACGAAATCGTACTCTCAATGGTATATTACGTGTTCAAAGCTGCTTTCGAGGTCACAAAGCCCGGCATCTCCTGAAGGAGAAAAAACGAGGAATTTTCACTCTCCAGTCCTGTATGCCTTGTAGACTTGTTCTAAAATATTTGATTCCCTAATGAACAAGTGCTATCTGGTGGTTACGTTTTGCAACATATTTTTGCAGTTGTTCGTGGTGAAAAAGATAGAAAGGAATTCGCTATCTTAGTACGGAGAAGAAGAGCAGCTGTGCTTATACAAAAGCGGGTCAAGGCAATGATAATCAGGAAAAAGTTCAGAGAATTTAATGGTGCATCAGCTGTGTTACAAGCCGGTAATATCTCTGTATCTATTCTGGTTTGAATCCGACTGCTACCATGGAATAATCATTCCATTCTACATTGCATCTGGAGAATCTGAAGCATGCTTTATTACAAGATGGTAGTATTTTATCATGTTATAGTCTTCCCATCAACATGGTTGTTCATCTACTTTAATATCATAAACTATACAAAAGTTGAATATATACTTAATAGTTGTAAATGATTCACCAATTTACGTCGCATGTGTTCAAATTTGATGATGCAAGACTCGGTTTTTTTATGTTCATTGGGGAAATGTATGGAGATGAAAGGAAATCTTGGGGAAATGGATGGCTATTAGCCTACTTACTCCCTCTTTGAATTAACCCTAAATTTACTTGATCAAATGCAGAGGTGGGGATGGATTTTTAATGCAAATACTTGTATTATTGGGTTCTTTAGATCACATTATTATAATTTTTAATAATGGAACCGTTAAGAACTGAACATTAAACCTTTTTCAGTTATTCGTGGATGGCTAGTCCGGAAATGCACAGGCGACATTGCGCTGCTTCAATTTGGTCCTGAAAAGGTACTTCTAATTCCATTGTTTTCTTCATTTACTGTCATAAAATAACATTAATCCTATTAACAATTTTGTTTAAATGGGCTGATCATTCTATCAAGTGTTTGACAGAACGACATTAAAGAACTTGTTTTCTGACTGATCTCTTAAAATCTTCCATGTTATATAAATGATCAATTTGAGACACATCTATATCTTATTTCCGAAATCTGAATGCTTGGTGTAAAATACTAAAGATTGTTCAAAAAAGATTCTCTTTACCTCCATCATGATCAGTGGCCAATTCAAGATCTTTGGTGATGGGGGTAGGACTCTGAAGAAATTTCTCAGCAAGGAGCAGGAACAATAAGTTTGGGTTAAAAAAAAATAGGGTAATTTTTTAGGTTTTGGTCGGGGACGGTTGACCCCCTATTCTTCATGTGGATCTGACACTGAACATGATGGCTGTGTCCGGTGAGGTAGCTCAAACCCTTTTTAAGACAACTATGTAGTATGTATAGACAAGTGTGTGCGTGTGTGTGTTGAAGTAGTGTATTTGCGAATTTCTTGTTGCATGACATATATGTTAATATGAATTCGTGTGATCATGAACAGGGTAATGGATCAGAAGACGTACTGGTGAACGCATCGTATCTTGCGGATCTACAACGACGAGTTCTTAAAGCCGAGGTTGGTTTACGAGAGAAAGAAGAGGAAAGGGATATCCTTTTGGAACGGCTCCAACAATACGAGAGCCGTTGGTCAGAATACGAGGATAAAATGAAGTCCATGGAGGAAACATGGCAAAAACAAATGAACTCCCTTCAAGCGAGCCTAGCTGTAGCCAAGCAAAGCCTCAGCATGGAGAATCCTTCTGATGGTTCAGTAAACACAACATCATCAAACAATGAGAGCTTGGATACACAAAGTAACGGCCAAAGCCAATCGACAGCCGGGCTGAGTTTGATCAGCCGGTTAGCCGAAGAGTTTGAGCAGCGGAGCCAAGTGTTCGGAGACGACGCAAGGTTCTTGGTGGAGGTCAAGTCAGGTCAAGTGGAGGCAAATTTGAACCCAGATAATGAGCTTAGAAGGCTGAAACAGATGTTTGAAGTGTGGAAGAAGGATTATGGGGCAAGATTGAGGGAGACAAAAGTAATTTTAAACAAGCTTGGCAATGAAGAAAGTGGTGGTGGTGACAAGGTTAAAAAGAACTACTGGTGGGGAAGGCTCAACAGCTCAAGGGTTAATTGACTTCTCTAAACCTTTGTTTGTTTGAGTTCATAACTACTATTCACCATTCACCATCTGATTGATTTTGATTGCTTGCTATGCTTTGAGATGTTATTGGTGCTTTTACCATGAATAAAAGTAGGGATGTGTATATATATATATATATATATATATATATATAATTACGTATATGAGAGAAACCAGTATGACAAACTAATTATAAAAAAGAAATGATGTTTTTTTATATGCTTTTTCATAATTTTATACGGTTTCATATATTTTTTGCTTTTCAATGTAAAATGTGACCTTTTAAGTCGGTAATGACAAATATGTAAATAAACGTACTAAAGAATGAATAAAGTTTCCTTGGTATATAATGACGGTATTCATAATAACTGTACTTGTGGCACTGCATATTATTGTTAGTTTTTATATTTACGAGTCTTGTACATTTGTTTTTTTTATTGAATAGCATGTTTTTCAATCTATATTCTTGATACTGAAACATTTTTCTTTCTTTTTTACAGGTCTTACCAGATATATTATAAGCAAATCGGTCGTAAAATTATTCTAATTGTCTTGTATTTGTTAAACCTTGTTTTTTTGAAACCACATCTTGAGATTCATTATTGCAAACATTGTCTTTGTATGTTTAAAAGGTTATTTAGATCAAATATACAAATGACATATTCTTGAATCGTATCAATGTATCATGTGCTTCTAGATTGATGATACTAATAATTTAGTAGCCTCTCAAACATAATCATATTGTTAATGTATGCTAATATATATATATATATATATATATATATATATATATAATTTAATTAACCTTAAAAACCAATAAATGTTGTTTATGTTCGAAGCTCCGTTATCTTTGCAATGGCTCTTTTAAAAAGTAATATAATGAGGTTTTTCATGTTTTCAGATATATTCTTTCGGAAACGAATTCAGTAAACCGCTAGTAGGTCTCCTCCTGCCACCATAAAATGATTCTGACAATAACGTAACATTTTATATAGATTTTAACATATCATTATTTTATTTGATAGAGATTCAAATGAAAACAATAATCAAATAAAATAATATGAAACGACTAAATTACATGCAAAATCATATGTGATTTGATACTAATGTCAATACAAAGGTGTGCGGATGATGGCCTACAACTTCAATTCAAAGCCAAATTAGAGTGAATCGTGTGTGATTTTAATGTAAAATTGATTCAATAGCTTTCTTATTCTCTTGTTTAATCACTCTTTTTGGTAGGGGTGCTTGTGAGTTGAGTTGATTGGGTTGATGATATTTGAACAACTCAACCCAGTGCTTACGGTTTGAAAAATCTTAACTCAACCCAACCCAACTCAACTCAAACCGATCGGGTTGGTACTTTAATACATTAAAATATTCTTTCAATCTTGAATATGTTATTTCTCATAATATTTTTTTCATCATCAACCATTTGATACAACTTATTCATAGTTATTACGTATATCACATTTAGTTAATTTTCTCAATTTACACACACACATATATATATATATATTCACAGTTACTGAACATATATACGAATGAGTTATATAGAGATGTGAATAGATTGAAAATATGTGTATATAAAAAGCGTACGTGATAGTGTAATTGTCTAATCGGGTTGGGTTGGGTTCAAACAATAGTAACTCAATATCAACCATATACCTACGGTTTGAAAATTTTACAACTCGATTAGACATCGGATTACTTTAGGTTGAATTATTTCGTCTTGGATTGAGTTGAGTTGATCGAATTGGTCGGATTTTTTAACGTCACTACTTTATAGTATCAATTTGACTCTATTTTATTTTCTGTTATTATATATTATAATGCCACCACTTACTTTCGTTTCATCCTTTCTCCCCACGCCAACACTGCAATTGCATATATATGTTTGATTCGTGGTGTATATCATAAAATTTGTCGTCCACTTGACCCAAGTATGACTTTCGCCCATGTCGTTTGTAAGCACCTAAACCCCTTGTATCATCTCATTCAAATCTTCCCTCCGATTCCTCATCTTCTGCTCCCCATTTACTCCCCAACCCACCTCACCAATCGCTCTCACTACTCGTCTCTTCCTTCTGAGAATCTTGAAACAGTAAACAAACTCGTATCGATCTTCTCACACCAGCAACCCTCATCCTTGGTCTCCACAACAGAACTAGCCGCATTTGGGTCCAAGCTCACCACTGATGTAGTTGAAACTACCCTTAAAAGCTTCAAGAGTTGGGAAACAGCACTAAGATTCTTCAATTGGGCATCAACTCAAACTGGGTATCGCCACAATTGTTATACTTACAATGCCATGGCTTCTATCCTATCAGGTGCTCGACAAAATGCCGCACTGAAGGCACTGTATATTGATTTAGTAAACTCACGGTGTTATGTGAGTCCGGGCGCGCTAGGTTTCTATGTTAGGTGTTTGGGAGGTCTAGGGATGGTTAATGAGGCTAATGAATTGTTTGATCAAGTTAAGAAGCTGGGTTGTGTTCCAAATGATTATAGCTATAATAAGTTACTGGAAGCTATTGCCAAGTCGGGCTCTGTAGAGTTGATGACTGTGAGGATGAGTGAGATGAGGGATAATGGGTGGAAGCCTGATAAGTATACGTTGACAATGGTGTTGCAGTGTTATTTTATGGCAGGCAAGTATGAAAGAGCTTTGGAAGTGTTTCAGCGGATAGACGAGCTTGGTTGGGTAGATTCATATGTTTTCACGATTGCAGTCATCTCGTTGACTAAAGGGGGTGAGGTGGATAAGGCGATATACTTGATCAACAAGATGGATGATTTCAAGATAAGCTTGAATGAGAAGACCTTTTATGTTTTGATTCATGGGTTTGTGAAGGAAGGCAAGGTAGAATACTCTCTAAGCTTATTAAAAAAGATGCAAAGTTTGGGTTTTGTACCTGTAATTTCACTCTATGCGGTACTCATTGAAGGGCTCTGCAAAAGAGGAGAATTTACGAAAGCTTTGCAATTGCATTCCGAGATGAATGAAATGGGTATTTGTCCTGATCTTAACTTACTTCAGACTCTCATATCGTCTTTAGCTGATGAGAGAGAGATGATATGCTTACTCAAAGAGGCAAAAAAACATTTTAATAAGAAATCCATGACTACACTACATAATGCTGCCTTGAGTAGTCTGGTAAAAAGTGGTTCGATTGATAAAGCCTATCATCTTCTTCGAGCAATGATGAAGGATGATGTTGGTGATGACATTAAGATAGATGGATGCTTTGGGATTCAAAACTTTGTTCCCCTAGATGCCTCTTCGTTTGGAATTGTTATCGATGGTTTGTGCCAAAAAGGCAAGTTGGATGTGGCTCTAGAACTCTTCAATGATATGGACCAAATTGGTTGTAAACGAAGTTTGCTACTTTACAATAATTTGATTATTGCTTTGAGTGATGCAAACAAAGTGGAAAAATGCCATGAGCTTCTCAAAGAGATGAAGGCCAATGGATTTGTACCATCACAATTCACCCACAACTCTATATTTGGATACTACTGCAGGATTGGGGATGTGCTCGGTGCCATAAATATGGTACATGAGATGCATACTCATGGGCATCAGCCATGGATTAAACATTACACCTTGCTTGTGAAGAAGCTGTCCACAATTGGAAGGGTGGCTGAAGCATGTAGCTTTCTGGAAATGATGATTCAAGAAGGTTTTGTGCCTGATATGATTGCCTATTCTGCAGCAATTGATGGTTGGTTAAGGATGGGAGAAGTGGATTACGCCTGGAAGATGTTTAAAGACATTTCTGCTAGTGGACGTTGCCCTGATGTAGTTGCGTATAATACCGTCATAAATGGTCTTTGCAAGGCCAAACGACTGTCAGAAGCCCAGGATGTTTATGACCAAATGGTACAGAAGCGCCTTATTCCCTCCGTAGTGACCTACAACTTGCTGATAGATGCGTACTGCAAAAATGATGACATCGATCAGGCCATTGGCTTCTTCTCAATGATGGCTGAGAAACAAAGGGATCCAAATGTTGTTACTTACACAACTTTAATTGATGGATTGTGCAATGATGGAAGATCAGATGAAGCTCTGCTAATTTGGAACAAAATGGTCAGGCAGGGGAAGGGTTGCTCCCCTAACAAAATCGCTTTTATGGCCCTCATCCATGGTCTTTGCAAATGCAGAAAGCCAGATGCAGCATTAATATATTTTGAAGAGATGGAAGAAAAGCATATGCAGCCAGATACTTATATATATGTCACATTAATAGAGGCTTTTCTTTCTGTATCAAATGCACCCATGGCTCTTTGGATTTTAAGAAAGATGATTCAGAATGAAAGAGTCCCCAATGTGCTTGATAAGAACTGTATAACTCTAAGGGAAGCCGTGCGGAAATTGATGGATGATGCACTGACTTCTTTAGAAATCGAGACCCTTATTGCAGATAATGTTCTTCCAATTCATTTGCTACAAACAGGAGGGCCATAGTCATGTTCTTAAGCTGAGCCTTGTAAAACTGTATATAAACAGTCTCTTTATCTTCTGGAGCTTATTTTGAAGATTTACTTAACTTCCAGTCGAAATGCCAATTGTCTTCTTCGGGATGTGGCTGTAACCCTGATTTCTTTTTCATCAACTATGGTTCTAACTATATATTGGAGCATGAATTCTGACATCATTCAACAAGGTTTGGCTATAACCATTCTTCTTTTTCTTGTTCATTTTAACTTAAAAGTAGATATCATACATGTACTGATCAACCCTTTGGGTTTTTTGGTAATGAAGCTCATTTTTGAATGGATGATAGATCAGTAGATCCTGAGTAGAAATGTCATCCTTTATGCAAAAAGAATAAAATTAGACAAGGAAATAGAACATGGTTAATGGAAATCTGTCCATCAAATTGTTGGGCCTCGTTAGATTTTTTATGTTCCCAGTGATATAGCAATCGGTAAAGACTTGGATAGAAACATGGATCTTGTACGGAGCACTTTCCGGAAATAATATTTCAACCATGTTCACAGCCCTGGGTATCACGAAATTCACTTTGAGATAATCGAAAGTCGCACTCTAGACTCTAGACAAGATCGAGAGTAAAACATGTGAGATTCTGTTGTGTTGTTCATGGTTTCTAAATAGAGGTCAAACCTACTTATATGAGCGGTTAATTTTGGTGGGAAGGTAGTTATTTTGGCGCTAAAACAGTTACCAAGTAAGTCATAACTACCAATGGATATGAACGAAAAACAGTTGCACCAGATCATACCAAAGTCGGTTCGAAAGGTAAATCTTCCCATAGATTTTCCTTCAGAACTTGCCCTTTTAGACATAAAGTTGCCTTTCTGAACTTTGGCTTCTAATCAGATTAGCCTTCTAAACAAGATTTGTTTACCAAAATTTACCATGTAAGCGTTTACCGGCATGAACCGTCACTACTTATCTCATCGTGTAATATTTTCGGTTATCAGAATGCATTATTGGTAAGAGTCTTAAACACAGTAAGTGCTTACCAGGTAAAAAAAAAAAAAAAAATTCATCACTTACCAGGTAAGACTCTTCGTTCTTGTTATGCCTCTTACCGGGTAAGATTATCGGTTCTTGTCATGCTCCGTCAAGGTAAATGATATCGGTAAGTGCTTACCCAGTAAAGGTTTGGTAAAAGGCCCCTTACTGCATAATGCTAGGGGCGCAGCCCCTTGACCCCCTGTTTTGTTGTGATAACAGGTTTAAGTAAGTTTATACGAGTATGCACTCTACATCTCCTAACCCACGTTATAACTTAACTAAAAATCCCACCCATCATCATGTAAACCACAACTACGTCAATATGATTGATGACACTAAAATTAGCAACGCTCATCTCTCTCTTTATCATCACATTCAAGTCCAATCTTCGTAAAAATCGGAGGTTTCCATGAAAACAACTTTTTTCTCTTTGAGACACATGTGTTGATGTGAAGTCTCAATTCATCTCAATCCTCGTCTTTCACTTTATATAGAATGGAGTATCAACTACGAAATTGTAAATTACATAGCGTAGGGTGAATGAAAATTCACACTCATCATATTTAGATACAAACATTGTAAACTAAAACGTTCCATACTTTGTTGTGACATATTTTGCAGTTTAAGGTATGTGGCTTTTTGTTATGTATATAAGGTTAGTGTTAGGTTAGGTTAGGTGTTTGTCATTTTAATATTTTATGATAGAATAAATTGCATTGAAATAGAAATAAGTTTGTTTTTGTTTTTGTTTTAAGAACCAGTGTTTTAGACATTAATTTTCAAAGGTTTTAGAGGTCCGTTTGTGTTTGATGGACGGATTTGGATTTCGTGAAAGTAATTGGAATTGGGGAATTAAGACTGATTTGATTTGAGAGATGGGTTTTAAACAAATGTCTGCAGAAAGTCAACCGATCCAATTGGAACTGAAGGATTCAATTAGAACCAATTGAACATAATTGAATATCCAATTGTAATTAGATCGGATTGAAGATTTCAACATCCAATTTGAATTGGTCAGTTCTTGGATATTAGTTCAGAACCGACCGACATCGAATTATCCATCCGGTTATCTATCCAAACATTATCCAACTAACATCCAATTAATTTGTTTTCAATTTAAACAAATCATAATTTGTTTTGTGTTGATTTTTGAATTTTTAGTTTCGTTTGTGTTGGTGCAAAATCAAATTAAGATTCCAAAAACTATTTACTACAAAATGGAATATTTGCTTTAAAATATAGAAAGGCATGAACCGCGACGGTGGTTGGGGGTCAAGGCGCCATGGTTAATGGCTACTTGAGGCTAGGGAAACTGATAGATAAATAGCACTTCCATTCTCGACCCAAACTACAATTAACAGACGAAAATGGCGGCCACTGCTACATCTGCATCAACTTTTCTTCATCGTCTTCATGATGATACCTCATTATCAAGGGGAATGTATCGTCGCTCCTCTTCTCTTTCTCTTCTATCTTCCCCTACAACTTCCTCTAAATCCGCCCGAATCCAGTTCTTCCCAAAAGGTAAGATTTGAGAGTTTTTCAGTGTTTTGTGTTTGAAATGTGTATTGGTTATTCTTCATCTTACATACTCGTTTGTTATACTGTAAGGTTTGGCAAACCCGCTATTTGTGACGCCGGCAGAGAAGAAGAAATCATCTTTTCAAACAGAAGCTGTTCGTCAGTTGACTGGTTCGCTGACAAAGGCCGAGGGTTTTCGTTTTGCTATCGTTAGTTCACTATCTCTGTTTCGCTTTCTTCTCCAATTTCCCTTGTTATTAGTTCATGTCTCCCAGAAAATTAAAGAAAAGGTAGAATCGTATATTCAGATGAATTTGGGAATCTTGATAAGAAAAGGTCCTGGATTCATAATGGGCTGTTAAAATCAAACCATACTGTAGGATATTTAGGGTATTATCCGACCTTTTTACTTTCAGAATTTGAAATTGATTTCAATTTGTAGCAAGATTTACCAATTTATTCATCTTTTGAGATTATAAATTTTGAAATCGATAGTTAGTCCCTATTATTATCCTTGAATGGGATTTAATCTCTTACTATGGAGTTCTATCCACATTTGTTTGCAGTATTAGCAAAAAAAATTTACTTCCACTAATCTGCGAGATCCACACTATTATATATACAGCAAAGTATAGTTCTTCAAACCTCATTTGAAATTCCAGCTTGCCAATTGCCCTTTTGTTTGGTAATCAACGTCCATGAGTCAATGATTTCATGTACAATAGAGAGGTTTCGTGTTCATGTTCGAATCTCGGCACCATCCACCTGCCTCTGGGATGTGCGATTGTCTTCAGTGGGGCCGCTCTAGAGGGTGGCATATACCTTTTTTGTGTAATAGAGAACTCGAGCTTTTTATTGCATTCTTATCATGCCACTTCTTGGGAAGTAGAGATGGATTGACATTATGTGGACTTTTTCACTATTTATCGAACTTCTGATAACATTTTGTTATATATTACTTCTTTCTTTGACATAGGTTGTTGCGAGGTTTAATGAAATTGTCACAAGGCCTTTGATGGAGGGTGCTTTGGACACATTCAAGAAATATTCAGTGAAGGAAGAAGATATTGATGTACGTATCATCTCCCTTTATATATGTTTCATTTTCTTTTCTGCACTACCTCATGTATTTTCTGTTTCTATAATTTTATGGGTCATAACTCATAACTGAATTGCAATATGTTAAACAAGTTTCTTGGAAGGTTCAGCTATCCTCAACAAATTGTGATTTTGATTATCTCATTTTTTTGCTATAGTTTATGCTCAAGTGTATTGTGAGTTTGTGACTAACATTGTTATGTTCAATTTATTAGGTTGTGTGGGTCCCTGGTTGTTTTGAGGTCGGTTTGGTTGCTGAAAAGCTTGGAAAGTCAGGGAAATACCATGCAATCTTGTGTATAGGAGCTGTGGTAATATACTTATTCTTACACATTTTATCTGTGATATTGTTCAATACGATTATGCAACAACTGCATTATGCATTCTTGCAAAGGAAAGATGACCATTTCTCTATACATTATCGCCCTTTTAGCTAAAACGTATGGTGGATAGTAGAATTTTGTTATTTGATGGATGTAAACTTGGAGTAAGAAGGTGATTAGGTAGATGGAATTCCCTTCTTTATGTTTGATAGATAAAATATCTTAAACAAAAGCGATCACATGTGCTTGACATCGATGCCTAAATATGTTGATTGCTATTTTGTGGTTTTCTAGATAAGAGGTGATACTACCCACTATGATGCTGTTGCTAATTCAGCTGCATCCGGAGTCCTTTCTGCTGGACTTAATTCAGGTACGATTTATATTTGTATTTGAAGTCGTTACCAATCTTTTAAAGGAGTGTATGGAGTTCATATAAGTGTTTTAGCACTTACCCACTATCAGTAAATCCTTTCATTTTAAACTCTCACTTAACATGATATTCTTTTGCACTACATACATCCTTACACACACATGTACATATGCATGTATGTAAGTATATGTCAAACAAACATGGTCAAAGAATTACATGACAACAACAGTGCTAAGTGTGGTATAATGATTTGAAGCCAAAAACCTGGAGCTGATGCTTGTCTAATAATCAGTTTTGTATTATATACTTGAAGTGACTCCATGCTATCCACTTATGATGTTGCAGGTGTTCCCTGCATATTTGGAGTATTGACATGTGAAGACATGGACCAGGTATATTTATAGTTTGAATACCCAGCTTCAGTAATTTTTGATCGTTCATGATCAATGTTTATAAATATTTCACCTTCAGTATAACACCTAGCCCAAAACATGGGGTATGAAACGTTAAACATAAGATCATAACAACTTACTCGAGATTCGAGAATAATCATGAATGCATTCATGCTATATCAAAACTCCAGACTATTCACAAGTGAAAACTCCATTGTTCTTTGCTCTTGAATTTGCTTCTTTATGTACCAAAAACAAAAGTAGAACTAGTAAACCAATCAAGTTTATGTAAACCTATTTGTCCTCCTAATTTTCTGATTTAACCATCACACTTGAATTTGAAGTTATGACTATATTGTAACTAAACAAATTACACTCAGTAAAGTTAAAACAATTTACTGTTACAGGCCTTGAATCGTGCGGGTGGTAAAGCAGGGAACAAGGGGTCTGAGACGGCTTTGACCGCTGTAAGTTGCCTCTATCCTATGAATTTGTTTAGGGTTTAGATTAGATGATGTTTTTGAGAGTAGACTTACCAAATTACACAAGTCAAGTTGGCTATTTTGTTGACTGAAATGTTGACCTGTATTGCAGATTGAGATGGCATCTTTATTTGTGCATCATCTGAAGGAGTGAGTAATCTTTGTATGTCATTTGTTGAAATCACGCTGCTCAGAGGAATATGATGACTAGCTTTGCAGTTGGTGTTCCATTTTTTTCCCCTCTTGTTTCTGTTTTTGTGTTATTTTGAGGAATAATCAGTGTTGTGGTTTTGTTGAGTTAATGACAGAACCAAGTTAATAATGGAAAAAAGAAGCCAGAATTTCACAGATTTTTACAGCATTTTGGTTACTTAGGGGCCGTTTACCAAACACTTACCCGGTAAAATTCAACACTATCACTTTCTTACCCGGTAAGATTTTAGTCCACCAAAACGGCATTGGATACAACAATTTACCTGGTAAGTGCTAACCGTGGTAAAAGTCATCGTCCTCACTTACCATATAAGACTCTTGGTCCTTGTTTCGCTCTTACCGGGTAAGATTCTTGGTCCTTGTCATATTCATCCGGTAAGGTAATGTGACTTAGTAAATACTTACCGAGGTAAGCGTTTGGTAAACAGCCCCTTAATCATATCATCTTTGTCTACTTTTATATCTTCCAACATGACCATGTTAATCTCATGCACATGTGAAGATGTTGTGATAGAGATGGCCAAAAAACGGTTACAAATCTCCGTATCTTTAACATGTTCTTCGTAAAAATAAAAATTAAACCACAAGGATGGTGTCTGATTGGTTTGAGCTTGGCTCCAAAGGTCAAAAGTACCAGGAGGTCCCAAATTCAAATCCAAGGAGGAATAAAAATCCTCTTGTGGCCACGGAGGTTTAAATGCGGTGACTCCGGGCTACCTGCAAAGCAGGTGGTCGCCCTGTGATTAGTCGGTTTACATAGCGGGTTGGATATCCAGGTTAATCAAAAAAAAATTAATAAAGAATCAAAAGTTAAAATATTTATAAGAATTATATTATGTGAGATTTGATTAATATCTATATAAATATAAGACATCGTCATATTTTGACGTTGTGACGCCTATTTGATGTACATATAATTAGACGACTTTCGGTATGCAAATTGTAAAAAAGTAAATATACGGATAATGTAAATATGATATGAAAAGACATTTTTTTAATCAACATGATATCAAAGTCATTTTAGGGGCGGACTTACAAACGGAGTAGGGGGTGCATGGCCCCCGCTCAATCATTCAGTTGTAGTTACTTTTTTCTATCGGTTTTAATTGTGTATCCGTTTAATTTGAAGTGTGTTTTTGTATGTTTTTTAAAACCAAACTTAAAAAAGAAATGTGAAGTTGTCAGAATTAGAGGTGTCAATGATGCTAGTCGAACTTGAGTATTGATATATTCCACTCGAACTCGACAATAATTTCTCAAGCTCGAACTCGACTCGAAAACTCATGAGTAGTTAAAAATTAAACTCGACTCGAACTCGATTGCAATTTTTTAAACTCGAACTCAAACTCGTTTGAAGCTCGAACCAAGCTCGAACTCAAACTCGAACCAAGCTCGAATCATCCTCACCCATTAAAATTTATGAAACTGACCATTCTCTTAAAAATTATTATGAATTTGTTTATAATATTTTTATTTACAATTCCCAATTTTACATTTAATTCTTTTTTTATAATATTTTTCCTTTCACATAAAATAAAATAAAATAAATCACATTTAACAATTAAAATTTGTATGAGTTTTTATTTTTAATTTTTTTTATAATACTTGAAAATCGGTTATTATTTATATGAACATGTTTACGTAATAAATTTATAAAATTATATTTTTGTTGTTAAATTTTTTTATTACCCATCACGAAATCAACCAAAAAAAGTAGTATTTACGTCTTGCTCAAAATAATAAAGTCGATTTCATTTGTAAAATGTATTATATCATATTGAAACAACTGAATTTTCACTGAGTCAAACCATATTGACTTTTCTCTGGGTTAAACCGCGACTTTGTTATAACTTGTTTGTTTATCTCTTAATAGTTACATTAGAGGTGAATTTTGTTTGACAAAAAAATATATGTCTCTTAATGGTTTAGAAACTCTCTGAATGATTTTGTATCATGGATCTTCCTTAACCATTCAACGCCCTGATTTCATTGTAACCAATTACCAAACAATTATATTTCATTTTGCATTATATCATTAAAACATCTTAATCATTTTACACCAAATCATTCAACAACTGTCAAACATCCCTTAATATTTAATTGATTGACCTCAAAGGTCCCCCACTCATAAAAATTTGAGTCTGCTACTGAAGTCATTTTTGTTGATTACAAAAACTACAAATAAATGTATCTATCAAGATTTATCAAAATAAATGTAGAAAGAAAAAAGGAAAAAAAAAGTAATTTTAAGCACATTTATAAAATTACGAAAAAAATTATATTAAATTAAAAATATATTTTTAATATATTTTTAAAATTAAAAATATATAATAAATACTTTAATATAAATTAGAAGGGTACTCGTGCAATGCAGCGAGATATATATTGATTTTAATATTTCATTTTATTATTTATCTCAGTCGATGTTATAGTGTGGTTTTATGTGATTTTGAAAAAGTGATGATGTTTTTATTTTTGAATAAAATATAAATTTGAAGATATTATAAAAAATCTGACGAAAATATATCGATATCAGTGTCAAATTAACTATTTAAAATTTCTATTTTTGTGTAATTTTTTAATTATTCAATTTTTTATTAATTTAATTTATGTTCAATAACGAAGTAATTTATATTTGGTTTAATAATATAATTTTCTTATAAAGATAATAATAAATTATTTTGTTAGAACTCGATAATTATCCTAATTATTTTTTATATTTTAAAATTAGATGTTTATCCTCTATTTGATTATTTTTGTCCACATTTAGTTACACGAATTAAAAAATGGAGCTTTAATGAGTTGTACTTATGCATAATTTACTTATGATCTTGAATTTTAAGTAATAAACATCAATATACAATAATTCAGATATAAAAAATGGTTTTTAAGAGTTTTTATCAAATGTTTTATAATATAGTATAGATAATATAACTTTTATAAAGATAAAAATAATTATAATAGAATTTAGTAGTTATTCTAATTATATTTTATAATATTTATATTTAAAATGAGATATTTATCGTATTTGATTATGTTTATTAGTTAGTTATATGAATTTAAACATATAGTTTTAAAACGTTGTATTCATGTATCATTTACTTGTAATTTCGAATTTTAAGTAATATGCATCATTAAACAATACTTGATGCATTAAAAATAGTTTTTAAGAATTTAAACCAGATGTTTTTATAATACAATATAGATAAAACATACAGTACTTTGTGTTATATTCTCAGTCATCCTAATATATCATTTTATCTAACGTAAGTGTATATATTTATAGATTTTTTAAACGAATGGTTCATAAATATCTGGTTCATTGTAAAATAATTAAATGTTCATAGAAAACAATCTTCGATTTATAAAATTTTTATTAAGTACAAAAAAACTATTTAGAATTATTACACATAACATACACATGCATATATAACAATCATAATAATATAAATTAAAAAATAATTAAAAATAACATATCATGTTACAATCATATGATTTTAACATATAATATAATAATTTACGATATATTATGGTAGAATAATAATCCATATTTACATTTATACTATATTATAAATTTGATAAAAACTTTTAAAAATCATTTTTTATGCATGAAGTATTATTTATTGATGCATATTACTTAAAATTCAAAGTTACAATTAAATTGTGCGTAAGTATAGCTTATTAAAGCTCTATGTTTGAATTAGTGTAATAAACTACAGATAAACATAATTAAATACATGATAAATATCTCATTTTTAAATATAAAAAGTTTGAAATATAATTAAAATAATCATTAAGTTATAACATAATACTTAATTATTATATTCATAAAAATTATATTATTAAACAAAAAATTAAAAAAAAATGAATTAAAGAGATACACAAAAAATGAGAAATTTTAAATAATTAGTTTGATACTAATATCAATATCTTTTCAAAATTTTATGATATATCTTCATATTCAGATTTTATTAAAAAATAAGATATCGTTTTATCAAAACCACATAAAACTGTATTATAACATCAATCGAGACAAAAAAAACGAAACATTGAAATCAAGATATATCTCACTACATTGTGTAAGTACCCTTCTAATAATCTATAATGCATTATATAATAATAATAATAATAATAATAACATTCCAACAAACTTTTTAAAATAAAAAGAGATAGTAATTTTTTTCAAATTTAATTTCTTTTAGAAATGATCACTTAGAAATATAATTATGTCCGTAAGAATTTTTTTTAAAAGATACAGACAATATTTTATTAAATAAATTAACTATTTTAATAATATTTATAATCTTTAAAATAGACAATTTGTTAAATTGAACGTAATTTTTTTATTTTAAAAAAATTTGTTGAAAATCCTCTAAAATATTTATGTTAATTTACATGACATTTTATTTTATTAAGAATATGTTCAATTTCCAAAGTGGCTTGTAAGAAGTTGCTATTTATAAACTGACCAATCAAATTAAGACATATCATCATAATTTAATTTACCTTTTCACCTACATTTGACAATTGTCTTATTTTGATTGGACAAGAAAAAACATGTTAAAGTAATCTTTTTAAATTTCCAAAGCTTTAGATTTTTTTACTTACATCAACATCAAGATTTATTTTTTACATTTTTAATGAATAATTTGATATGATTCTAATATGCATAGCATTTCTTAAAACCCAACATCAACCTTAAAGGTACGTTTGATACGCAGACAAAATATGACAGGACAAGACAGAACAAGACATGACAAAACAAGACGGTTGTTCAACGTTTGGTAAGACATGACAGGGCTGGTTAAAATGACCAATTTATCCTCAGTGAGCTGTTTATTGTTTTTTCCCACTAAGTAATCAATATAAATGTTAACAAATACGGTGTGCAAAGTATTAACTTACATCAAAACCACTGCTACTTGCAAAAATATATTTGTAAAAGTACATGATTTCATAATCAACTAATGATATATGAAAAAAGTAAATATAATATAAGCATCAAGAATCCATTATCGAAGCAAATCTATATGCATTCCATACTAAGAAGAAAAAACTACTACCAACAAGCGCACAATCAATTAAAATAGATTAAATATCAAATAGTAAATAAAATACAAGCATCAATAAAAACGATTTGGCTAGTGATCCCGTATAGTATCATCACATTCACAAAACTTGGATTTCATATCATCACATTCACAAAACTTGGATTTCATAAATTAATAAACTATAGGGATGAATATATAATAAATTATATAAATTAATAAAAATATAGAAACCGTATAAAAATAATATTTTGAGGACAGTAAAATGAAAGTTTAAAAAACATAAAATACAATAAATAAAATTTAATGAATGAATAAAATGTAAAAGAGAGACCTATTTGATGTTTTAGAAGAGAATTAAGTTTTATTTTGAGGTCATATTGGTAAAATATAAGTCTGTTCCTCCTTGTTCCACCTTGTTCTATAGGGTAGGGATAAAACAGGTCTGTTCCATATAAAATTTCTACCAAACATGAGACAGGGAATCCCTGTTTTATTCTGTCATGTCCATATCCATATCCAGTATACCAAATGCCACCTAAATAAATGTCAAAATCAACCATAATTTTTTACATTTAGAATAAAATTGACATCACTCAAAATTAGAAGGGTTTTGGGAAAAATAGAAGGGGCAAAATGTGAATACGCTGCGGAATGAAGTGTGTTTCCCTAATAGATACTCTTCTTGTTTGAGGAGACTGGTTTAGAAGAGGCCAATTGATTCGGTTTGAAATTGGGGGAGTAATTTTAGGGCTTTTGTTACCACGGGGACGTTGAAGAACCACAACTCTTCTTAGACCTGATGTGAGCGAGAATTACGAGGTGCGCCCAAGAAAATCTTTTCTATCTTCATACAGAATCTCTCCTTCACGCTTAAATGTAAATGTATGTATGCATGGTTGTGGAATTAAAGCCATTTGCTGTTAACTGGTACATGTCTTTGTTTTTAGTATGGATTGAGGATATGTATATGTTGTTTTGGTGAAGTTGTCTCTAGTCTTTTACCTAATTCAAGAAATACCGGTTACATTCTTGAAAAGTTTTCTGTTCTTGTTACTTAACTTTGTGAATCGCGAGGTGCTATATAAGAATACATGCCAGATCATGCTAACCCTGTTTTAGTTTGGTTGGTGCTACATGGGAATGTTGAGATTATTTGAATGAGTTACTTAGCGCTCTAATTCATGGGTCTATGGGGTATCTTTTTGGTTTCTTTTGTGATGTAAATTTTGGATACTCAGGTCCCGCTTTCTGAATCTAGCTTGGTCCAGCATATGGGACTTCATGCGCTTTGATCTCAGAAAGAGGAAAGCATTCAGCTGTTGTGTCGCCAATGGAAATGATATATATTAGTTCAACAGATAGTGATTCTAGTGATTGGGATCTAGACAAATATAAGGCGCTAAGTGATTCGGATTCAGATATTTCTTTGCGCAATTCTAGTGCTCTTCCTCTGTTGGGATCGTCTTCTGGGACAAGTACTACAGGTAAAGAACATTTTTATCAGTGAGACTCACCATGCTAGAAAACCATTATCTTGTCAATTTAACTTGATATGTCTTAATGTCTTTATCAAAATTATAGGTCTGCATGGATCAAGTCAATGGTCTCTTCAGCCTGAAAGAAAAGCTGCTATAAATGGACACTCATCTCATTCTAGTCTTGATTTGGATGACCAGCTTCAGATTTTATCCAGTTCTACTAACAATTTTGGAAGTTCAAATCGGCACAAATTCATGGATAGTAAGTATGCCAAGCTTTCTTTAAAGAATGGTAATTTGGGTGTGATAGGATAGTCTGGGGGTGATATTTCTCTCTAACAGCAGCTTGATTTCATGAAATCACTGCTATTTTTTGTACAGGCTTTGATAATCAGTTATTCCGAAAAGATTCCGAAAGATTGAATCCATCTCTTCAGCCATCGTCATCCAGGTCAAATTTTCCACTAAAAAGTGTGAGCAGCAGTCAAACTCTTGAAACTTATGGAAAACCTTATGCACATGCATGGCCAAATCACGCAAAGGTTCATATGGAAGAAAATTTCAGCCGGGCCAGTAATGATGTGGTGAAGGACAGCCATGGTAGGGTTCTAACTCCATCGATGAACGCTTCAGCTACACAATATGCTGGTCAATCTGATCTTTATCGCTCTGGGGGGGTTGTTGAACAAGCGGTTGGTGATGAGAGGCTTATTTATCAAGTAGCATTACAGGTATTAGTTTCTCCTTGTATCATTATATAGTACAAGCTGCGTTGAATTGCTGTAGATGTGATTAGGATTCTCGTGGCTCTGTATCTAAGTTATGGACATGTTTAATATATCATTTGGCCTTACATTCTACACATGATTTTTGATCAACGTCTTTTTGAATATTCATGATTGCGATGTCATTTTCCAACAGTTTCCGATGACAGATTGGTTGCTTTGTAGAATTTCATTTGTGTTCACATGTCATGATGAGTGAATATGAGCCATTGCTGATTCATTTTGTACATTTACCACATATATGATACCAGAAAAAGTAGAACAAATTACAAAAGAAGAATAGGGAGATGGATAGAAGAACCAGAGAGAGAGAGAGAGAGAGAAAGAGGGACGAAGTGCCCTCAACGAGATGAATATTTCATTCAGCATAATATCCTTATAATGTTGTTGGTAATATCCTAATGCTATTTTTAAAAGAATAACAGAAACAGTGGTCTTACTTGTGTCTTTTGTTTACCAGTAATAAAAAAACACTCAATTTCCTTTATAGTTTATATCAATATTTGTGTATTTTCTTGAACTTGTTGAATACTTCAACCTGTTTATTCTTCATAAAGATTAAAATTGGTTCAACAAGGATAATTAAACATTTGGAGTGTAAGTCAACCTGTGTCAGTGTTACCCAGCTTAAGTAACTGAAAACTAATGGTCATTTTTGTTTCTATTCTCTATCTGCATAAGAGATACCTATTTATGTAATAACTAAATGCTTTTACTGTACTTCCTGACAACCACCTAACATTGTCGACAGACATCGTTAGACCCAATACAGTGAAAGGAGTCATTGACATGCAATTATGAAGGATTCTTGCCTGGATCATCCAAGAAGAACACAATTACACAAACCTTAATGCTGTGTTCTCGAAACGTTTTTAACGAAGGAAAGGGGAGGAAAGTAAAAAAAAACTTGTGTTCTTGAAACTTTTTTATGAGAGGAAGGAAAGGGAAGGGAAGGAAAACAGTGATAAGTTTCCTCCCAAATGTAGGAGGAAAGGGAAGGGAAGGAAAGGAAAGGAAATCTTTTTAATACCTTTTAAAAAATTATCAAAATTACCCCATCCTTCGTTCTAGTGGATAGATTTTTAAAGGGTATATTAGCAAAAATGACATCTTTCCTTTCCTTTATCTCCTGTTCAAGAACGCAAAAAATTATTTTCTTTCTTTTATTTTCCTTTCTTTTCCATCCCCTTCTTTTCTACCATTTATTTTCTTTTCTCCCCAAAACCGGAAGATATTGTGGCTTCCAAACGAGCCAATGTAGGATTCCTAGCCTTCTAGAAACCCAGCACGATGAACTCTCCTATCATCCATCATTATAGATTCAAGCAACAAAATGAACTCTAATTACCGCAACAACAATTAAAAAGCATACCTAAATTAGAAGTTAGCATTTCACGGTTTATATAATAGAAGCAATGTCATTTAAAGAGTGTCTGCAGGATACAATTTCATGATCCAGCATATTCTTTGATGCCAAACAAAACTTTTCACCTTCTAAACAAGACAGGCCTGACATCTGCATTCTCAGATCCTGCTCAAATAAATGACCTGACATCACCCATCTAATATGCAAAATATCTGATGACTCATACCTTAACAGTTTCCTGATCTCAACAGCAATGGCCGAGTTGATTCAACAAAAACCCTCAAGCAGAACATGTTGTCTTTGATCTCAATGGAGATCAGCTTTGCAAGAAAATTCTTCCTTTCGATCTCAATATCTCTCAAACTTAAGTAGAGAAACTTGGATTTGATCATGTTGGGTTCTAACTTACAAGATCATAAGGGCCAAAATTGCATAAACAGCAAAATCAAAATCAAATGCAGGGTTAGCATCAACAGCTTCTTTTTTCTATCTTATTATGTAACCCATTAAAGAAATCCTAATGATGGCTGATAGCTCATCTAAAGCCCAAAAGATATGATGACGATTTTCCCAGGGCCAAGTGCTACTGGTGGCAGGTGCTATCTTCTGGCATTCTAGCTCAAGCTGGTGAAAGCAGTACTTCTGTGGCATGCCAAGCTTTTACACATTGTACTGCCATGGCATGGAAGGTGTGGTATATTGGGGAAAACCTTTCCTATGAACTTATTGAAACCAACAAATATGAGGGCTATATATAAACAAGCTTATGATGACTGTTAGACAGATGATACTCCTAATTAAGTTAGAGCCTGGACTATTACCTAACAAGATATATGTGTAGACTGAAGTAATATATCTTAATGGCATTTTGCAAATCCAACACTAGTTGCAGATAAAATCATACTTTTTAGTTTTCATTGTTAGTTCCAAGGATTGTGCTTTGGCTATTATTGCATGAGATGAAAGCTAAAACGGCCTATTTACTTTGATGTATGTGTTGTTTTAGCTCTAGCAGTTACAATGTTCTACCCAATATATTCTCAAGACTGGAAGTTCAAATTGTCTGGAGAGGGGTATTTTATGATGAAGTAGTAATATTCTGTAATTCAGTAAAGGAGTTGATATTTGAGGGAGTTAACATGTGATGTTAAATTTTTTAGCCTAGAAGAAGGTTGATCCATTTATAATCTGTTCACTGTATTTTGAAATATGCTCAACCTTGAAAAAGATATGGTTGTTTTATTTCAGGATCTTAATCAACCCTTAACTGAAGCAACTTTACCAGAAGGTCTTTTGTCGGTCTCCCTCTTAAGGCACCAGGTTTTCTACGCATCTGATATAAAAAAGTTCCTTATTTTTAGTGTAGTTATATTTTTATTTTATTTTATGACTTCATGTGTTCTGTTTACGTGTTTCTAGAAAATTGCCTTGGCATGGATGGTTCAGAAGGAAAAGAGTGTGGCTTGTTCTGGTGGAATTTTAGCTGATGACCAGGTTGCTACCTTGTAAATTGGAATGCCTTGGACAGCATATTTAATAGCATCATTGATCTGAAGGATTTATATGTTAAAAATTTAGAATCCCACCTAGACTTACTTTTGCTGTGTCTCCCTGCACAGGGCCTTGGTAAGACAATTTCAATGATTGCACTTATACAGAATCAGAAATCTTTATCAAAACCAAAATCAGATGATTCTCGCACTTCAAAAGCTGAAGCTTTGAATTTAGACGATGATGATGGCATTGGCACAGTAGTTGTAGATGAAGAGAAGCAGACTGGAGAAAATGATGAATTGAAGGTGATCACAAGGGTCAGTAGCTCAACACAAGAATTTCGTAATCGGAAACCTGCAGCAGGATCGTTGGTCGTGTGCCCAGCAAGTGTGCTGCGACAATGGGCCAGAGAGCTGGATGAGAAAGTTGCAGATGAAGCTAAGCTTGAAGTTCTAGTTTATCATGGCGGCAATAGGACGAAAGATCCTGCAGAACTAGCAAAATATGATGTAGTTCTTACGACATACGCCATTGTGGCAAAAGAGGTCCCAACTAAGTTTTTGGACGAGGATGATGAAGATGATCAAAGAAATGGGGACAAGTACGGATTATCTTCCGAGTTTTTCAATAAGAGAAGGAAAGGGCCTAATCCTGGTAAGAAAAAGAAGAGCAGAAAAGGTATTGATGGTTCTGCCATTGATAGCAATGGTACTCTTGCAAAGGTGAATTGGTTCAGGGTGATATTAGATGAAGCTCAAACGATAAAAAATAGCAGAACCCAGGTGTCTAAATCGTGTTGTGGTCTTAGAGCAAAAAAAAGGTGGTGCTTGTCCGGAACACCTATACAAAACTCAATTGATGAACTATTCAGCTATTTCAGATTTCTAAAATGTGACCCATACGCGAATTATAAATCTTTTTGTAATCAAATAAAGATCCCAATATCCAGAAACTCAATGCAGGGTTATATGAAACTTCAAGCTGTGCTGAAGGCAATAATGCTTCGTCGAACAAAAGGTAAAAAAATTGTATCCGTTCGCCTTTTTGATACTGTATTACTGTGCTCACTTAATGTGATGCACAAATTTATGTACTCCTATTTTGTTAGTAAAAGATTTATCTAGTATTGCTGTGTAATAACTGAATAAGGTTATCCTGCTAAAAGTTGCACCGTCCTTGACGAGTATCTAGTAGATGTAGATTGGGTTTCATGTTAACCATTGTTTTCTTCAGATGCCCGGTTTTTTTGGTAGACAACCCAATTGCTAGGCATCCCCTCATGCTTCTAACGCAGTACATTAGTAAATGATATAAATTAAGGTCTAAATGAGTGCTAGAATAAGAATTCTTTTATGATATAAATTAACAAGCGGCTCTATAAAGCAAACTTAATTACTTGAACTAGGCTGGTCATTATAGAAATTTATATGTTAAATTGTGAAGCTTCAACATCCGATTCTAAGCTTGACCACTAATATTGTTAGGGGGTAAAAAATTATAATTTGGTTAGAACTAAAGTTTAGTATTGCTTTCCCAATTTTTTTGTATCTCTATCCACTTACCCATAATTTGTATTCAGGGTTTTCTCATTAGTAGTATAGACATTCTTTGAACCCTTAATATTCATGTGATATATAGTTTTATCTTAGAAATTGGTATAATATAAGAGGTCTTGCTTTCATTACATTGTTTATGAACTTCATAAGAATAATGGTGTCCAAGTCCATACATATATACACATCTATGTAAACATGCATGCGTACCTACGTAGATACACATACACATGTTTATGAACTTCACGAATTCACATTCATTTGGTTTAGACATAACTAAGTAAAAGGTTTTCGCTTTATGAATGCTTACATCTACACAAACAAAGTAAATACTTTAAGCATCAGAACAAAAGTAAATTGATATAATAAATTAGCTTTAATAAAGTAAATTGATATAGTAAATAAGGTTATATGCAGTAAAATATAAAAATGCAGTGTTTTGTATGCCAAAAGGGAGCAATGGGTCATACATTGTAGAATATAAATTGTACTTTAATTTGTTTTAATTAAAGTTAAATGGAAAGGTTGTACCTTGTGCAGTTCTATTTGTACATAAATCCGGTTAAAGATTTTGACAAATTATTTTACTTGCATCTTTCACAGTTTTACCTATGAAGTTCGAGGGATTATCCTTATAGTTAAAAACGCTATATAACATATGATTAAATTAAAATATTAACTCTTCCATTCTTTTCTCAAATATTTAATTGGATTTGTGTATCATTAAAAATGCTAATAAGTAGAACTCTTTAATTGTTTAATGGGGTATTTAAGAAGTCTAGGATAGTTCATTGGGAAGAAGTAGATCTTCCTATAAACATTCTCCCCTGTCATATCATGTCGATTTAATTTTTGCCAATTCTGTAGCCATGTAGGCTAAAATCTAAACATTTGCATCTCTTTTACGTCATTTAACTGGTTAATGATGTGTTCAATAACACTTAAGAAGTTAAATAGGCTAATTGTCAAAATTGATTAATATACTTGGTAATTTGAGATTTGGGCATAGCACAATGGGTAAATCAGAAATTAAATTGTTATTGTTCTTTGTGAAGTTCATATACATTTTTATCCATCTGGTAGGGTTTTGCGTTTTCATATTGTTGTGATACATCGGCTTCTGCTTCTTGTTAAATGTTCTCATTGTTATTCATCTTGGTTTGTTCCCATCACATGTAGTCATGCCTGGTTTCTAGGTTTTATTTGTTCTCCATGCTCCTTTGTTAATTGCAAGTTGTTAATCAGCTTTACTTCTCTGGTCCAGGCACTTTGATCGATGGTAAGCCTATCATCAACTTACCTCCGAAAACAATAAACTTGACAATGGTGGACTTCTCAAAAGAGGAACGTGCTTTCTATCTCAAGCTTGAAGCTGAATCACGCACACGATTCAAGGTGCTTTTACTTTTGTTCTCCCTCCCCCAAAGCCCTTATTTCCTAGAAGATATGTCCTTATTTTGTTATCATTTGAATATTTGTATAGTCTTATAAATTCAGAATTATAACTTGTCCAGCATGAAAATCAAGCAAGCCAACTTTCGAATTTGTAATTTATGTGGCCTAGCCGCCTAGCTGGTAACTTCTGATATATTCTAAATCCTTAGCTCCTTGCTAGCTTTTTTCTTACTGGTGTCCATCGTGTGGTGGAAGTAACTTATTCTTGCTTTTGATGATTGATGGATGAAGCATTTCAGATGACAACCCCATTATAGTATGGTAATGGATGCTGGTATACCTGGGGTGGGTCTGTCCTTATATGTTTAGGCTTCTGCTTCAACTTTGGGTGCTATGATGTCACAAATTCCTACCTCAAAAATATAATGGACTTCAAATTAAACTGCCTTTTAAATTACGGTTTCTCAAGGAGATTGAAAGACAAAGAGGGAAAGTCAGTGAGAGAGAGAGAGAGGAGAACTAAAAAAATCCAACCATCTTCGAACTCTACATCTTTCAGTGGAGAGGACATTTGGTGTGTGTCTTCATCATTGTTCTGCTTCCCTTCTGTTTTTTCTCTTCTTGATCCTTCACATGTTTTATTTTTAGTTTTTGTACATCTATTCTTCACCTTTCGTGGTGATCCTATGGTTGCTTGCTTCTGTTATCTGCCGACCAGTTTGGCAATATCATTGGGTTATTTTGTAATTTTGTATGAAACAATCTAATTTTCATCTGTGGAACTGGAATCCCACGCAATAAATGGCGCTTGTGCAAGCTCAATCTGACACACACATGTTGGGCCCACTTGGTGGATATGGCTCATGTGTGGGATAGAGCTTCTACAAACTATATTCATTGTGTCGTATTTCCACAAAAGCGATTTTTCTATGTATATATTAACTATTAAAATAAGTGTCTTTCCTTCCAGTTTTAAGACAGGCTGATTTTTTTTTATCTTGGTGCTCCTAAGTCATTCATGTTCTAATCTAACCAGTAGCAATTTTAAATGGTTAAACTATGAAGTATTTACTTTTTATGAATTTATTTACTGCATGTAAATTAATTAACTGCTTTACTTGCAGCCATTTTCTAAGAATTTATAAATACTCAACCCTGGAACCATGATTTGGGAAATTATCCTGTGCATGGTATCCTCTTTTAACGACCTCTTGTCGGTGGATTCTCTAACCCCTTCCTACTCAAGTTGGTTGCATGATATTGCTGAAAATTAAACCAAATCTTTCTAATTATTTTCAAATGCCCACCTAGTGCCTTTTTTGATAATCCTTTATCCACTAGTAAGACAATTGGATATATAAATTGTTGAGTTGCCATCTTTGTCATATGCTTTTTAAGATTTGTACTGGCTAGACGTTTTATCTGCTGCATATCAGATTGTTAGCCATGTAAAATTGGTAATCTCCTTTATTGAGGACGTGTTTGGAGTCACAATGGCCGACTTATTGAAGTCTAGTGACAAACTTTTCTCCATTTTAGTTAAATTTTCTGTGCATGTGTTAAGAATCAATATGGGGAAATGTAATTATGACTAGTAGTTATCTTATTAATTTTATTGATTTAGAACAATTTAACAGCAAGGAATTGGTAAAAAGGAAGAAGTAGGGATTTGAGGGATCAATCCTCGAATGCTAGGATCTCTTAAGTTTCATACTCAAGATTGCCATATCACCAAAGAGATAATATGTATCTTCAAAACTGGTCTCAAATTAATTTCATAAATGTAGTTTTGCTTGTAATAGGTTTACAATACCATTTTAAAGTCCTTTCTTGATGTAGGATAAACTAAATTATAGCTTCTGAAAAAGTAAATATCATACTATTACTAGCACAATAACTAGTAATGATGACAATTACTATCATCTCTCCTCCAAATGGCTTACCTGGAGGACACAACAACCCCCGAGTGCAACTACTTGATGGTACAAGAATACATGTGAGTACCATAAAGCTGATGGTCCAATGTCCATGTTGCAATAGAACCGAAGATACAACAAAACCTGAAGGCATCCATAAAGTGTCATTAGCCAACTTGGAGTGCATATCAATCTATAGATGAACTGGCACTCAATTTGTTCTAAAAAATTCCTTTGCTTACTGCCAAATGAATCTACTACCCTACCTCCAAGAAAATAAGGGTACAAACAGATTCAACTGCAGCTAGATTCCAGAGAAATTGATGGAAGTCGGATTTCCTAGTTGGGTTTGTGATCTTGATCAATTCTATCTCAGATGCCTTGAGAACAATGCAATAAGTTACGGTGAAGGCTTGAAGCAAACTTTTTTGGGCAAATAGAAAACAACTAAGATCCCTCTTGGGTTAATAGCCTAATCAAGAAAATGGATATTTAGTTAATGCTTAAAAATGCCATATAACAAGTGTGGCTACATTGTCAATTTTGGAAAACTATTTCATAACGATTAATTTGAAGAAAACAGAAAGATTTGGTTAAACATCAGAAAATGTTGCTATAAAAGGATAAAAGAAGAGAAGTTGAATGCTTAATAGAAGCATCATCAAATACACTCCTTGTGGTGCTCTCAGCAGAAGCTACAGCCTTTGTCTCTGTTGTAAGCTTAACTAATAGAAGGAACCCCCCCCCCCCCCCCCCCAAAAAAAAAAAAAAAAAAAAAAAAAAAAAAAAAGAAAAAAAAAAAAAAAAAAAACAAGTAAAATTGTTTAGAGGAAAAGTAATCAAAAGCACACATTCAAATTAGAACCATTTTAGGGCTAGGATTGAGGTTTATATATAGCGGAAAAAGCTTCCATGAGTTGTGAAAGGAATATGCATGATGTTTTATGATAAGGAAGGAAATTTGACACATTCCCGACGGCACTAAATGGCTACCATGATGTGAGAGTATGTTACACCTTGATAAACTTTATGTCTAAGTGCATATCCGTATGCTCTTTCTGGTGGTCTTATCCAAATATATGCTGGAACCAACTGTTGATCTTTGAGATACAGCATACATACTATGCGCTCCTTGCAGCATCTTCAACTTATTTGTGTGCTGGTCTTAAGTACTCACCTTGCTGTTGACTCCATACCACGCTGTATGTTTGGACCCATTCCCTTCTTTCTGTTCAGTTGGCTTTTAGCATATTCATACCCTTTGATTGTCTCAATTTTGGTGTATGAATGCCTTTAATTTGTCCATTTTTCTTCTTTTGGTCATGAAATAGAATTAAGTCAATTAGGTATGTATTTCATACAAAGCATATAGCATTCAACAATTATATTTCACCTTGATAAACTGTCTGAAAGTGCTTAATAGGGCATATATACACATGTCTTTCTGGTGGTCTTATCCAGACATACACTGTTTTTCTCAGAATTAACAGTTGATCTTTGATTCATGGCATCCACATATGCAAACTTTGCAGCATCTTCAGTTTATCTGTGTGCTTGTTTAAACCAATCCATTTAATTTGTTTAATTTTCTGTATTTTCTCTTATAATAGGAGTCATTCAATAAATATGATTTTCATTTAAAATCAAGGGAATTACATGGTAAATCCTAAAAAATAAACAGTGAAATATGTATGTCAAAAGGATCTACCAGATATCATTCTATAAACCTTGTTATCTTTTGGTGGATGCTACAAGAACCTGAGATATGACAGAATCCAACAGAGATACAATGTGAGATTATGAGCATGTGTAGGATGGTTTTATGATAAAAGATTTAGGACTAATTATGTTGTCTAGGATTTTATGGCCAGATCTTCCAACCTTTTCACAACAGTTAATCAGGAAATAGTACTCAAGGTTTTATCAAGTATCGGCCATGACTCCCCTACATAAATCTATATATTTTCGGTCGATTTGTAGTAATGATACACCTTATAACAGTTCAGCTGTGAGGGCGTTGTATAGTGTATGATGGTTGTAATTCAATAATCGTTATATTTATAAATAATTAAACACACCATATGTACGTGTATGTATATGTGTGTGTATATATGCAAGTATGTATCTGTGTCTGTGTTATCAGTCTGTGTACAAGCCTGCTTCATCACATGCTAAAAAGGGGTCATCTCACTATCTTTTATGTAAAATGCAATTTAAAGTATTTCCCAGCTCCACTAGGATAAGCATTCATAGTGTTTATGGCTTTTCATGTTTTTCACATCTAAGTGAATGTTATAATCCATGGGTTTTGATTGGGTAAGTTGGTCTAATACTAGAGCTGAGAATAATCAATCATCTTTCATTTGGATAGTGAGTTAGTTTTTATAATAGCATCCCGTTAGGGACAGGCTTTCTTGTTCATATGTCAAGGGCTTGTAAGGTTTTTTTTGCGTTGTATCGAATTTAACTAGTAGAGAGAAAACATGTATTCAGCAGCTTGCACAGTTCCTATGCATTTTTTTTCTGTGTTGCTTCCTCGCTTTTGTGACGTGCGACTGAAAAAAGAACAAGTGATCCCAGCCCCTTAGAGAACGCATGATATTATATATCCAAGAAGTTAGGCATTGCAGCTTCATGATGGTTGCAAATGCTCGTATAAGAATGAGAAAATAGATATACTTTCATCCCTCAAGCACATATGAAGGACTACATATCCAAGTCACTGCTCAAAAGATATATTGGGCAAGCCCCAACTATGTCTGGAAAGAAAGAAAACTACTTCAACCCTGTTTTTTGTTATTGTTTTAATAGTTTGCTCATAGTTACAATTTCATTCTACATAATTTCTGATTGTTTTATTTCTCATAAACTAATCAGGCATTCATGATGTCCTTTACTTAAGGGGTAGAAAAAGCTCCCCATTTTAAAGTTCTATTGATGAGGCTATTGTATCTTTAGGTTTACTACTTATTTCTTTAGACACGTCCCACATCCATGGTTCAGTGTTGATTTGGGACTAGAGAAGTATCAGTTAACATTTGCCAGTATCATAGTATCTTACTTTTTGACATTAAGTTACACACTTTTTGGTTTACTTGTAATCAGAAGGCCTAATGTCATTATATCATTATCTTATGATTAGAATGATTCTAAATGCTGAAAACACAATGCTGTCAGCCATAGAAGGCCATACAATGTATGCAACTTCAAAGAAGTCAAAAGTCTGCAATTTTATTTGTATGAATGTCATTTTGAATCTTGGTTTATTTAGTCTTTTTCTGAGTCTTAGATACTCTTTTGCAGGCGTATGCTGCTGCAGGTACTTTAACTCAAAATTATGCAAATATCCTATTGATGCTTCTGCGCCTTCGCCAGGCTTGCGATCACCCGTTGCTTGTTAAGGGATTTAGCTCAGAATCTGTCAGTAGAGTTTCTACCAGAATGGGAAAGAATCTCCCCAAGGATATGCAAGTGAATTTGTTAAATCTCTTGGAAACTCTCAACATATGTCACTTGTGTAGCGTGAGTTTCCTGGTCCCTCCAACCTTATCATTCTTTTACAAGTGAGATCAGCTATAGCCTGTTTGCAGCATAGGGGAATTGTTCATATATACTTAAAAAGAAAACAGTATGCGTTGTGTAGACTCTCAGGTCTCAATTGATGGTTTTACAGGATCCACCAGAAGATGCTGTCATTACCCTCTGTGGACATGTATTTTGTTATCAGTGTGTATCAGAATACCTGACTGGGGATGACAATACATGTCCGTCACCAAAATGCAAAAGCCAGATTGGCGCTGATCTTGTATTTAACAATGCCACCTTAAGAAGTCTTATCTCTGAAGATGGTGAGGGCCCGAGTTCATCCAAAGTTGATGAGAAATCTATAGTTCTTCAGCTTGATTATAGTTCTTCCAAGATCAAAGCTGCTCTGGAGATTATTCGGACCTGTTGCAGATCAAAAGGTTCAAGTTCAGAAACACCAAATCTAGTTAGATGCAATGGTGATTCTTTCTTTTCAGGAAATGCATCTTCTAGTTCGGGTATTGGTGGTCAGGTGGTCGAAGGACCAATAAAAGCAATTATATTCTCCCAATGGACAAGAATGCTGGATCTCGTTCAAATGTCGCTTAATCAGTATTCCATTACATACAGGAGGCTTGATGGTTCAATGTCTCTAGCTTCAAGGGACAGGGCTGTCAAAGAATTCAACACCGATCCTGAGGTTGACTTCCTACTTCACAGTATTCAAATTCTTAAAATAGACACAATTTCAGTTTTGAATCGAGTAATGGAATGGTTGCAGGTAATTGTTATGTTGATGTCCCTGAAAGCTGGGAATCTTGGTCTGAACATGGTTGCTGCATCTCATGTTATTCTTTTGGATCTTTGGTGGAATCCAGCTACTGAAGATCAAGCTATTGACCGAGCTCACAGAATCGGACAGACGCGTCCTGTTACAGTCTCGAGACTCACTATTAAGGACACAGTTGAGGACAGAATTCTTGCTCTCCAGGTTTGATCACTATGTCAGTTTTTCAATTTGCTTGATATTTACTTTCTAGGTTATGTCATATCGTTGTTCATAGTAGCCGACCTTAATAGTGATTAATATTAGGAAGATAATAATTTAACTCCTAAACAGTAGACGAATTGCCCCATGGCCTCCCCACCGAGCACCCTGCCACCATCCTCCCTCTTTGGTATTGATTCCACTTCTTTCCTACCAACCATGACCATACCCGTAACATGATCTTGAATTAGAATTTGTGTTACTCAATGCTCAGGCTTGTCTGATTCTTGTCCGACTCAGGTTATATTTCCACATCGTCACTTTAATTGATATATTATTTGGTGCATGCAGGAAGAGAAAAGGAAAATGGTTGCATCCGCTTTCGGTGAAGATCAAAGTGGAACTTCGACCGCTCGTCTAACACCAGAAGATCTAAAATATTTGTTCATGGGAGCTCATTGACTCCCTTATTCCTTAGCTGATGGCCTTGGGCATTTTTGTTTAGATCAAGTGCAAAGCCCTGTAAATAGTCGTAATTACTATTGCTGTAGAGAATGTTAGTATCGACCGTTTGTTTGCTCAACTGTTTTTATACCGACATTTGGAAGTAGGATGTGTGACCCGTTAATAGCTCTTTGCAAACATTGTGTAACCTTATATTCGATGTCTTTTTAAACTAGGAACCCAAATGAGTCCGCTTTAATTCTATCGTTATTTACAAACAAGCCGGATCTACGATTGTTATTTGCCTTTGGCTGTCTTTCACGAACTCGTACTCGATTCCTTGTCTCGTGAGACGAATTTGTTTGCGGGGTTACGTTTCATGCAAGTGTTTTTTGAGCTGAAATGGCAGGTGATTGTTGGATAGGGACCAACAATTGGTAGAACAGTCTAATTAATTGTTTTTTTATGATTTTGTTTTTTGGACGTTTGAAAAAGTTTTTGCATTAAAAAGTGAAAGAAAAATGTGTGATTTAGACGTGTGAAATTTTATTACGGAATTGTATAGAGCTTTCGGTTGAATTTGACGTTACAAAAACATTATAAACAACCCCACACGGTACACCAAGGTCGTATTCACACACCTACCAAGTTGCCTTCCTAACTCCGTCTAATACACCGTTACGTGTTTTCAAGACACTGTTAAACAAACCGTTAACGCCGTTAGTCAACCCGTCAACGACGTCCGAGAAGTTTGCCGCCGCGTTTCCCAGTTCTTTGACGCCATTCTCCAATCGGCTCCGGTTGTCGTCGCCGTCGAAGACGATCTCATCAAGGAGATCGCATATGGCTAGAGATCGGCTTGCTGTATCGTCAAGCTCTAACAACCATCCTTTTGTTCGTCCTCCGTCTGAGGTTTGCTTTGGCTTTATCAGCTCGAAGATTTGTGTCTGCATACGGTTGACCGAATCCGCCCAAAGGAACACGTCCGGAACTCGCACTTCAACCGAATCGGACTGTCCGTACAGCACGGCAACCAAAACGCTGGCTATGAAGACAGTCAAGACTCCGAGACCGTGTAACGTGCGACGGATCATATCTTTTGCGCTACTTGTCTTACCAAGCGGCAGGCTATTGATGGCGGAAGTCAATTCTTCGATCAAAGCCTTTGCGCGTATACCTTTCTCCTTTGAAGTGTCGTGTCTGTGGTGAACGGATCTGATGAGAGCGTCCTTCGCCTTTTTTAGTTTCTCAGGCGACGGGATCTGACCGGATGAATTTATCAATCGAAGGCCGAGATTCATCAGAAGGCGACGCTCAGTCAATTGCTGAACCGCCGACGAGATCAAATTACATAGATCCAGTACCTTTACACTGTAATCCATATACAAAGCCTGATAATAATCCGATTCAGATCCTAAACTCGAAATCTGATCCTGCGCTTCGGAGTGAACCATGGAGAGAAACGAAACGGCCTTCGACAGCCAGGATAAGCTGATAATCGACGAACGGGATGGTGGAGTTAGAGTTTTTAGATGGAGAATTACCTTTTCATCAAAGAATCGAGCAGGTAGTTGGTAGCCTTTTTGGCCATGCGTGGGTTTCTTCCCGATGGATTTGAAATGGGAAGTTAAATGAGTTTTGTCGACAAGAAACATGGTTGAAAGATGGTAAACTTCAAGTCGGAACGGAGAGTTTGTCGCCGGAATTACCAGCTGCGTCTTTCAATTTTCAAATACAAACATCTTGTGCATATAATATATGGCCAGCAGCGACGATAAGGTACGAATCTTCCAACGAAATCCCTGAATTGCCCCCCGTTGACCGTTGCCGGTAATATATAGTTTAAAAACGTATTATTTAAATACTTATATTTTGAAAAATATCCTTTCTAAAATATTAAAATATAGTTTTTAAAACAATTTTATTTCTTATAAAAATACGTATCCTTAATAATAATTAAATAAAAATACATTTTTCAGGTGTTTTACAACTCGATGATAATTAATAATATTAAAAATATTTAAAAATAATTAAATAATTATGTGTTTACGTGAAGTTATTGGCATATTTGTTGGTACAACTAAAGTATAGTTTTATTTTTATTTTAGGTGTTTTACAACTCATTGCTTATTGTATATGTACAGCCGTATGTATATTTATGGATAATTTTTTTAACTGTGTTTTTCTTTTTTCATTAACCTGGATATGAGTCGACTAATAATCCTGGGAAAACTTTATTCATGTCAATGAAAGATTTATCTCAAGGTTTATGTGGGTAAAAAGGCTGCAGTCACAATTTGATATGAAATTAGTCTGTATGAAACTTGAAATTACTCATTTCAGGAAGAAAAAAAATACACACCAACAAAGACGTATGCGATGAAAAGAATCAGTAAAAGTTTTTTTGGCGATTATCGTCAAAAGTAAAGATATACACAACACCACCTAGAAAAAGGAATATGTGCGGGAAAAGAAATGTAAAGGCGAAAAAACGAAAAAGCAAATGGAGCTTTCACATCTCTAATATATACATACCCACATGGGGTTTAGGTGTTAAAGCTATGTTTCGTAAAGTAGTTGATATGAGCATATGACTAGTAAGTTAGTTGATGAATAGATTATGTTTGGTAAAAATTAACTGATAAAAATGTAAAATACTAAAAATGAGATCTTGAAAATAATCAGTTGTAATATTTTGAAATTTAATTAAAAATCAATCTTTAATAATAATAATATCTTAACTAATACAAAAATTGATTATTATATATCATAATATTTAGATTTGTTAAAACAAATTTAAAAAAAAAATCTATTATTTATGATTTTAAATAACCATTATATATAATATAAATAAAAATAGTCTACTTCATATATCCTAATTAATTAATAATTTTTCAAAAATATATTTAATAATTAGGTTAAATAATCTATTCAAAATATTTAATATATTTTTATTATCTATTAAAATTTGAAAGGTACTCCAAGTATTAGAAAATATAAGGAAAATCGATAAAAAAAGGGGAAAAAAATCGCTCGAAATCAATCAAAAAAGCCACTCTAACTCCACCATAAAACTTTAAAAAATCTTTTGAAACGATGAAATTTAACTTCATACATCTGACAACTTTACAAATCTTTAATCCACTTTAAAGTTGTGTCAATTCAACAAAAATCCTAGGTCTGCTACTGTTTGTAAGGATGAATGTGAAATTGGTTTATGTGATTGCCTCCCACATAGCCTTGCAAGTGTTTTGAGCTGAAACAAAAAAGCATAATTATTTGATTGAACTTTTGGTGATAGAAATTTGAAAAATATCATTTGTTTATGTATTTATACAAAAATGACAACATTTTGAACATTGTTAACTTATTTTTGTTGGTACTCAAGTTATATTAGGCATGGCCTCCAAAACGTTCTGACGAAAACAACACATTCTGAATACATATATATTGTATACTTACGTTTTACGTCATTTAAGTGTAGAATGTGACGTAAGGCGAGGAAATACACGTATCGTTCATGTACATCATCATCTACTTATTTCGGGTCGTTCTGTTGTAAAAAGATTTCACGCTTGATTTCACATACAATTTAATATAAATGTTTAGCTATTAATCAAGTATCTAAACATCACTTCTTAAGAAAATTCAAAATATAAAAAGAAATCTAATAAATTAGGATTAAAAGCTCAAAAAAATTAATACAACTTAATGAACCCTTCATTATGAAAAAATTAATAGAAACATATATGTCAAAGGAGTTAGAATTTCCCTTCCTACATATCACAAAGATGTTCGGTGCAACCACAAGGGTGGTGTCTGATTGGTTTGAGCTTGGCTCCAAAGGTCAAAAGTACCAGGAGGTCCCAGGTTCAAATCCAATGAGGAATAAAAATCCCTTTATGGTCACGGAGGTTCAAATGCGGTGATTCCGGGCTATCTGCAAAGCAGGTGGTCGTCCTAGGATTAGTCGGCTCGCATAGCGGGTTGGATATCCAGGTTAATAGAAAAAAAAGATGTTCGGTGCTATGCAATGTACAAATGGGCAAAAACTAGTTATAACCGGTCCCTTAATCAGACATAATTAGGCACGATCAAAAAATGTCATAACGTAACCCGTCCTTATCCCAAAATTCCACTTTAATTGTTCCATTGACCAGTGGGCGAGCACCACGTGGGGTTTTATTTTCTAAGTTCAGTCCTGACCATTTAACCTTAACCGGTCCTTGAATTCACTGGCCCCTAAACCAGTTACTTTTAAAAAACTTGTATCTGATAGGGACCTGCAATTGGCTCTAAATGGAGAGATTTAACTTGGTCGATCAGTGATCCAGATTCTGGATCAACAACTAACCTTGACATAAAAAATGAACCCATGAAATAAAATTCAACTAATAATATGCTACCAAATCTACAACAGCTTTAGAAGTGATGTCAACATAAGTCATCAAATTGTATGTCTACTGTACAATCTGAATAAGCATACTGGTTTAACATCATGTAATTTGATAAAGGGGACTATCTTAACTCTTAAGATCAACAAACATATTGAATGATGAAACAGATACATTGATCAATCACATTTTGCTATCAGTTAATGTCATGTGGGTATGATTGCAATTAAACTAACATGAAAGGAAATGATTTGAAGTTAAGAACACAACTATGCATCTACTTGTCCAAGGCTCAAATTCAAAGGAGGTAAAGTATTCATGATATATATGAAATGTAAAATGGTTTTTAATTATTCTATAGATAAATCTACTATGCGATTTATTTCGCAGTATCTTAAGCCAGTCTTATAGCATTCATCGCTAGTATACCCAAGCACCACATGCCAGCATGCTTGTATAATTAAGAACTGTCACATATGAGTGAGGTAGATATACCATTAAGATCAATTCCAAGGTTCATCTAGATCTCAGCTCCGTACAAAAACACAAATTCCTTGGAAGCCATCTCTACCTTCTGGGCAGAGGTTACAGTCTAACACTTTGTGCTCATGAGAGACGAGCAAGGAGATAGTGTATTGTAGATATCTTTGACCGATAAGCTAACTTGGGACATCCAGTAGAGTAAAATAGCATGTTCACCAAGTATATATTACTATTCAAATTTATTAAACTCAACTAAAAAGTTGACATATAACCCTGAACTCTTGTACAAAGGGCAGCCTGATGTCATACAAAACAATAACATATTCGCCCCATCTGATCATACTATAAACGTTTTCAATGAAATCTATATAATCAAAAAAATAGCAACCAGGACGACAGACTAAGGATCTTTATATCTGATAATGACAATGAGAAGGGCCTCATAAAAGGATTGACAGTAATTACTGGTTCAAAGTTGACATGGTAAAACTTCAGCAATTAAACAGTCTAATGATGAGAGTTCTTGTATTTCAACAATAGTAGAAGTTACAACAGAGTTAGTGAAGAAGAACAGTCCAATGATATTGGAAAAAGTCCATTCTTAATTAACAATAGAGAACTTGGTAAATTGCTCAAAATAAATACCAGATGAATCTGATCTATCAATGTGAGGAAAAATAATGCATTGCATGATCAAAGTAGTAACCTGATGTATAAATTCTGGTGACTTCGGATCATATCTAGTTATTAGTCAAAAGTACAGCTTGAGCTACTAACAATCTTATGATTGTGGGAGCCTGCAGTGGCAAAACTAACATGGCATTTAGATTTAACAGCACAAGTTACAATTTATGACAACCCTGGCATAAGCAAAATCAAATTCCATCTAAAAGTAGAAACCTTTAAAACAAAATATAAACTAACCTTAGAATCAAATTTGAACCACTACACAGTACACAGGAATGTCACATTTAGCAAGTACAAATCCTAACAAGCCATTGGCATACCTTTTTCTTTCAGATATTAGATTACGAAATCTGTTTATTTCCTGTAAACAACTTGAGTTCGTTTATATAGGAAGATCAGCTTCAATCTTTCCCCATGATTCTACCGCAGATCCCCTGAGCTGCCTCTTGACCTTTTCGACGATTTCCTTAGCCTCATCTGCTTTTGAATCTTTGACCAATCCATCCACCAGAAGCCCGGTGGCCTTAAACGGAGGAACCCATTTCTTCTGAATGATATCCTTGCAGATTTCCAATCCACCATCAAATTCTCCCTCCTCAACCATATGCTTCATCAACATCATATAACCAAAAGATGGTGCCTTAACATAACCATCACTCACCATTTTTTCAAGAATCTTTCTGGCAGATTCCAAATCACCTACCTTGCAAAACGCAAAAATAATAGCACAATAAGTAAAAGAATTGGGTTCCACACCTTTTGCTATCATTTCATCCAACAACTTCCTAGCCCTAACGCACTCTTTGCTTTTACAATACCTTGTAATTCTATGATTGTAAGTGGTCAAATTATGTTCCAGACCTTTCTCATGAATCTTTTTCACCACCATATCAAACTCACTCCTTTTCTTGATATGCAAATTACTTCCCAACAATATGTTATAAGAATCAATATTCGGCTGCAAATTTGCTTCACTTTCCATTTTTGCAATCAATGCATGAGCCTCATCTAAACGACCAGCTTTACAATGGGCTTTCAACATCAAATTAAACGACTTGACACCAGGCGAAACGGATGTTTTCTTTACAAAAGCTTCAAAAGTCTGTTGAAACTTATCATTATCATGATAAATTTTATTATCTAACATCACGGAAAGCACCCCACAAAGTGATTTTTCAGTAACGGTGAAATTCTGTTGTTGAAGCATTTTGTCGAACGCCTGGAGTGCATTGTCCACCATTCCAGCCTGAGAGTATAACATCGCAATCCGGAGCCAGAAACCTTCGGAAGAAAGCTGAGGAGCAGGGGAAGTGGTGATGGAGTTAGTGAGTATGCGATCGACAAGGTCGAAGCGCTTGGATCGTGAGAGCTTGTGGACGGAGAGGGTGAAGAGGGGCCGGTAGCGTCTAAACGTGGGTATGGAAAGGGATGATTCGAAGAGTTTGGCAACTTTGAGAGGGTCTTTCTCTGATTTGATAGCCGATTTCAAATCCCTAAATGACGAAAAAGGCGAAGAAGAAGAGGAGGAGGAGAAGGTTCGTACCGTGTTCTGTTGGGAAGCATGGAACCTGGCCATTCTAGAAAGGTATGCTGCCATTGCCATTTTCGTTAATGATGGGAGACTGAAGAGGATCTCTGGTCGAGGGTTTTTCAAGGTTCAGAACCCTAACTGTAGACGGTGCCTGAAAATTAACGATTTCTAGAATTTTACATTTTACTCCCCTCAATTTTGGATAATTGCTGAATGAGTTTCAAAATTTTAAATTGATTATATATACCTTAATTTATGTTAACATATCTTAACCCTTAAAATGTTACACATGATAATGATCAAACCCGTCGGTGCACATGCGAACGGTCCTTTGTTTAGAGGTGTTTATGAGTTTGGTTGATCGGGTTGAAGACATTTGAATAAGTCAATTCAATACTTACGGTTTGAAAAATCTTTGCTACAACCCAACTCAAATCAAAGTACAACCCAATCCAATCCAAAACCATACAGGTTGATCGGTTTAGTCGAGTTAATACTTTGTTACATTAAAATATTATTATAACCTTGAATATATTATTCCTCTATTTTTTCATCATCAACCATTTTAACTTCTCCATATTTTTTACATATGTCACATTCAATTAATTTTCTTAATTTATATATATATATGTTCACAGTTACTGAACATATATACGAATAAGTTATATAACGATAGAGAATATATTGAAAATATACATATATAAATAGCGTACGTGATAGTGTAATTATCTAATGTATATATTCATATAAACTCAACAATCATATTAAATTCAATAAATAAAATGATATCATAGTAGTAACCTAATATTAACAGTTTATAAATTTTACAACCCGATTAAATATTAACAGTTTATAAATCTTACAACTCGATTATGATCAAATTACTTTTTGTTTTTGGTTGTGATAATCGGGTGTTGATCCTTGGGAAGCATCGATTGATCATGCACCCTCCACCATCAAAGGTTCTCGATGGTTCCTATTATCTTCATTAAAATTCAATTTTGTGTGTTTTCAAAATTTCCTTCTCTTATAACGATAAATTTAAGTGATTTAATAATTAAAATAAAATATATCTACATACTATTTAAAAATTTAGTGGATTAAATTTTTATATTTTAATCAATAAATTTTATTAAATTAAAAAACAAAAAAACATAGTATATTAAAAAAAGTTGAATAAAGAAATATAAAATAGGGATCAGATGGTTAAAGTTTGGAGGTGGCCAATTGTCGTAAGGCTTTAGGCGAACACCCCTTCTCGCATATTTAAATGCGAGTTTTGACCACTCATCAGTTCCCGTTAAAACTTGCCTGAAGGATCATGCCTTTCCCCTTCCTCCCTTCTCCCCTTATATAACACCTCCACTAACCAATCTATTCGCTTTCAAATCGATATGGGACCAAAATCACCCCTTTCTATTTCCATATTCTATTACTCTTTACTTCCAAATCAATATATAAACATCTTTGAAACACGGGTTGTTTTTCTGTGATATTACAATTTAATTATAAAAATATATTTAAAGAAAAAATTCATAATATTAAATAGAAGAGACCTTGTTTGAGTTCGTGGATTCAAAAGGGCACTCGTGCAATATACCATGATAAATTTCGATTTTAATGTTTACTTTTTGTTATTTGTCTCTATCGATATAATATGATTTTATGTGATTTTAAGAAAGTGGTAATGTTTTATTTTCGAATTAAAATATCAATTTGAAGATAACATAAGAATTTATAAAATAAAATAAACTGATAATAATATCAAATTAATTATCTAATAGTTCTCATTTTTTTTTTTTTTTGTGTAACTTCTCTAATATAATTTTTTATCATAATTTAATTTCGATTTAATAACAAAGATAATAATTAAACATTATGTTATAACTCAATGATTTAATTTTTTACCAAGGGTGATACTTGATTGATTTGAACTTAAGCCCTAAATGTTAAAAGTGTCTCGAGGTTTTCGGTTCGAATTTAGAGAGGAATAAAAATATTATTATGACCACGAAGGTTTAATTACGGTGACTTCAGGCTACCCGCAAAACGAGTGGTCATCCTGAGATTAGTCGGCTCGCATAGCAAGTTCTTATTTCATATTTCACGTTAGTCTATTTCTTCCCATTTTTTTCATAGAAGTCGGTCTTTTCTTTCTTACAATCGAACTTGTTTAATCTTATTTTAGAAGGGTGTTCCAGGCTACCTAGACTAACTTGTTTAATCTTGTTATCTCCTTTAGATAACTTATCGCCCTTGTTGAAGTCCAAGGGGCCGTTTATTAAACGCATAAAATTTCTCATCGGATGAACATGAGAAGGGTAAAAAATCTTACCATGTAAGAGTAATGAGAAGAATGAAAAGTCTTACCCGGTAAGTGAGGATGACGACTCTTACCCAGGTAAGCGCTTACCTTGTAAATTGTTGCATTCAATACGTTTTGACGTACTAAAATCTTACGCATCAAAATAAATTATAGTGTTGGCTTCTATAGATAAGCACTTATCGGATAAATATTTGGGTAAACAACCCCTAATGATATTCCTCTTTCCTTACTTCATTCGTGTTCATATTTTCTTATAAGTCAACATCAAAGTGATCCACAAAATTTCCAATGGTTGGCCCGAATTATCATAATCAAGAAATATGTTAACGTTGTCGTCATCATCGTTGTCAAGGGGGTTTACCCTATTTTGGACTTCGAAGTACTATAGTACGTTTGAGTTATGTCATAAGAAATAACATCTTCTGCTAATTGTCTTGCTCGACACTGCTCACGTCAAAATCAACCACCCTATAGATTTCACATCTATAACATACTGGTTTTTAAAACAACATACTTGTGGTTAATTGCAACATCTTCATGTTGCAAGATTCAAAACGGCAAACACATGCCCACTATAAAACCGTATTGCAAAATATACTGGTACAGTAAAGATGAGTATTCTAGCCAGAGTTATTATTATGAATCTATCGTGCAAAACATACAATTACTATAAGGAGATAAAAAAACTCTTTCTAAGTAATTGTATGTTTTGCACGATGGATTCATTATTTTCTTTATCTCTTAAAATACATGTTGCCATTCACTTGATTGAAACATTCATTATTTAGTTTTACTCCATGTACTTTGAGCCCTCTATTATTTACGGTTATTCTAATTATATTTTAGATTTTTTATATTTAAAATGAGATGTTTATCATGTATTTGATTATGTTTATATGCAGTTAGTTACACGAATTCAGATATGAAGTTTTAATAAGTTGTACTTACGCACAATCTACTTGTAATCTTGAGTTTTAAGTAATATGTATTAATAAACAGTACTTTATGCATAAAAAATGAGTTTTAAGAGTTTTTGTCAAATGTTTTATAATATAGTATAAGCTAGAATGGTACTCGCGCAATGCAACGAGATACATATTTCTTTTAATATTTCGTTTTATTTTTTGTATGTTAATATAATATGGTTTATGTGGCTTTGAGAAAGATAATGTTTTTACTTTGACTAAAAATAAATTTAAAAAAATATATCGACATTAATATCAATTTAACTACTTAAAAGTTCTTGTTTTTTATATAATTTATTTTTTTATTATAATTTAATTTAGATCAAACAGTGAAGTAATTTATTTTCGGCATAACAATAAATTTTTTATAAAGATTTTTTATAACTCAATAATTATCCTAATTATATTTTATATTTTTTATATTTTAAAATAAGATGTTTATCCTCTATTTAATTATGTTTATCCGCAGTTAGTTACACGAATTCAAACATGAAGCTTTAATAAGTTGTACTCGTGCATAATTTACTTGTAATCTTGTATTTTAAGTAATATGCATTAATATACAGTACTTCATATATAAAAAATAATTTTAAAGAGTTTTATCAAATGCTTTATAATATAGTATACATGAAAGCAAACAAAATATAAATATTTTGAAGTTAAAAATAATTTATATACGAAAGAAATAATAAAATGGACATATAATAATACTCTTTTTAGACGACTTCACACGGATGGTTACCGGTTCAATAGGTAACAGCGTTGTTTTTTCCCTGTTACCCTTCTTCTCTCGTCTACGTTCACTGTTGCTGTGACTCGTGTTCTCTGTCGCTCCACTTCGTCTCCTCCATTTCTATACTCCTTGCTACTGTTGCCCTCGTGTCTCCTATCAATCTCGCAGGTATGGGAAACCCTTATCTATTTCTACGTTTCGAACAATGATTTATAAGATTTTGGCGGTGTTTTGAAACAATGATTGGGTTTTGTTTTTACTGGTGGATCTTGATTGTGTTTGTTTCGTGTATGATTCTCTTTGGTTTCTTTGAATGTTCTACAAATTATCTCTCATCTCTCTCTTTAAACCATTCCGTGTTCTTCACTCTGCCATTAGAGTTTCCTATGTTTTAGCCGCTGCAAGTTTCTGCTTCTCTTCCAGTACTTTCAAGTTCTTGTTATGTATTTTCCCCTATTCTTATGATTTTAAAGCCTGCCTTTGGAAGTATTATGGATACTTTTGAGTGGAGTGTATGAAACCCCACGTCAACCCTGGTTGCTCTGGGTTGTTAGATGGTGTTTGTAGTCTTGCCTGATTACTCCACTGTGTTGCTATTTTGGTTTGTGATTCTTGACTTGTAAGTAATGTATAATATGCAGAAGATTGCCCGTGGAGATTTTTCAATTTAATGCACATGACGTGTTTGAGTATTTGTCTCAGTAAGAAGTTTATTAGGTGATACCTAGGCCCTTTTGTTTCATGCCCCCACATTAATTGTAGAAAACTCTGAATCAGTCGATAATGTCAATCTTTGTTAATTCAGTACCAGAAATGGTGAATGGTTTTAGGATTTACAATACCACATGATATGCTTGGATGATTATGCTCTTTCATACAAACTGTTGAAAACTAGTAGGTATTTAGAGGGTGTTCTTTATGGTTTCTGCAGGACCTTATTCCTCGTGAAGTACATGAATAAAAATAGGATGCCTTTAATAAAAATATGATGCCATGAGAAAGACAGAGTGCAGATTGATGGCTGTTGAAAGAGAGATAGAGAGAGGAGAAAAGAAAGGTGTTGTGAAGGCTGAAAGACCATCTTAAAAATCGATTGTCTCACAACCGCCTCAATTGCTTCTGGTGCCTTAATCTCTTCCTCGCTCAGCCGAGGCTTGAGAGGCATTGTCTCATACTTGTTTTTAGAAGTGAGATTAGTTCAAGTTTATGTTTAAAATTAGCTTCAATCTATTTTTACAAATTAGTAATCTTTATCTAAAATTTGTAATTTTACACATGTTTTACAAATTAAATATATGTTTACAGAATTCTCTCTCGCTTTATCCATGATAGACCTTGGGAATATATATAATTATTAATTAACGAGTATGTTGGTCCTAGTTTTTGTACAAGTCCTTCACTGTTCCCTGATATGCCGTACTGCCTGTGGTCTTACATAAATTTATTTTTTAATTGAATTTATGGGTCTTGTACAGTTGCATATAACAATTTTCAAGCAAAGAAAGGAATATGTGAAGTTTATTGGCATTCAAATGTTGTATGGCAGGCTTGAGCTTCTTGCTGGTGGCATGTATATTCATGGATTTTAACCAATAAATGTTTATGGATTGATGTTTACACCTAGGCGCTATTGCACATAATCTTTCTTTTATTTTTGTTTAGCTGATTTAAATGACATATAAAATGCCGACAAGACCTGTATAATTGTATATGGCTTGAAATGTGGAGTATATATGTTTCTAACCAAGTTTTGGCATGGTTTGTACAATTCCAGTTCCATGGAGGACTGAGACACAGTGGAGGTTTGTACCGAAAGAGGCTATGGAGGTTTAGGGAATATGTATCAAGATCCAAGGGTAATTCATTTTGTTTTAGGAGCAGAATCTGAATAAGCTAGAATAAAGCAGACGGCTGCCAGCAGGGAGGCCTGAAGAGAGGTGTATGGTTGTTTTTTAATGGCTTAGCAAAATTCCAAGCTAATTCAACCAAACTCTTTTTCTCTCTCTCAAGGCTTGTACGCTGACTTTGGTTTCATTTTTGGAGTTCCTGAAAGGAGCTGAGAGAACGATCATTTCCATGTTCTTAGAGATTAGACCTTAAATCCCATGTGGTCTCCTCTTACCAGGTTAGCTTCTTGCCGTAATTTTGTAAAATATTCCTTAAACCTCCGATTGAAGTCTGTTTCATCGTTTTCCCATTTAACTTGCTCAGACTTGTCAGAATCATCTTCGGATGAAAACAATACCAATTTGTCCCATCATCCGCTTGAAAAACTCGACAAGTTTGAAGTTGTTGAAACCTTGCACAAGTTACACAGAGAACCCGACATTGCATTGTCATATATTACCCAATTAAAAGAATCCGGTTTTAAACATGATGTTGTAACTTATATGGCAATTGTTCGACTTCTGTGTGATTGGGGTATGGATATGAGATTATATAATGTGTTTATGGATGTTATAAAGGATATAGATGGGGAATTTTTTAGTTTTGGAATTTCGGACTTGTTTGAAGCATTGTTAGAGGAGATAAAGGCGGATGGACCAAAAAAATTGATAAAAGCTGTTGATCTGTTCGTTAAGGTGTATTCAAGTGTTGGAAGGTTTGAGGAGGCTATAGATACGTTGTACAAGATAAGGAGAGGTGGACTTGTCCTGTCAACACATACATGTAATTATCTAATGAACCAGTTGATTGAGAGGGGCAAAATAGATATGGTAGAGTCCATTTATAAACAATTGAAGAGGAAAGGTTTGGTTCCAAATGTATATACATATGGGATTTTAATTAAAGGACTTTGCAGGAAGGGTTGTTTGGAAGAAGCTTTGGATGTCTTTAGACAAATGGGCGAAGCTGGTGTGGAGCCTAATGCTTTCACTTTTGGCACCTATATTGATGGGCTTTGCTCAAATAGAAAAGTTGATTCAGCCTTTCAGTTAGTAAAAACTTTAAGGGAGTCAAATACACCAGTCAATGTTTTTGCTTACACTTCCATCATTCGAGGTTTTGTGAAAGAGTTGAAGCTAGAAGATGCAGAAGTTGTCTTGCTTGACATGAAGCATGCAGGAGTTGTCATTGATGCACATTGTTATTGTGCCTTAATTCAAGGGCATTGCCAGATTTTGAATATCAATAAGGCCTTAGCTCTCCATGATGAAATGGAATCGATGGGTATTAAAAGCAATTGTGTGATTGTGAGCTCAATTATGCAATGTTTGTGTCGTTTGGGCATGCTGGCTGAAGCTGTATACTGGTTCATGGATTTTATGGAATCAAGAATTTTTCTTGATGAAGTCTCATTTAATATTGCAATTGATGCATTATGTAAACTCGGCAAAATGGATGAGGCCGTGGTATTGCTACAAGAGATGAAAAATAAGAAAATGGAGCCAGATGTTGTGCATTACACCACTTTGATCAATGGCTATTGTCTCCAGGGAGAACTTTGGAATGCATTTGAAATTGTTGAGGAGATGAAGGGGAATGGCTTGAAACTAGATATTATCACTTATGATGTGCTTGCTGGTGGGTTGTCAAGAAGCGGCCTTTTCGAGGAGACAATTGGTCTTCTACATGACATGCGGGCACAAGGTTTAGAACCTACCAATGGTACATATAGCGTGATCCTTATGGGCTTATGTAAGGGGGGAAAGGTGAAAGAAGCCGAACTTTTTTTCAACAGTCTTGAAGGGAAAAATTTAGATAACTATGCTGCAATGATGAATGGATATTGTGAAGCAAACAATACTAGAAATGCTTTTGAACTTTGGCTGTCCAATCAAGGGCTTATTGTGAAAAGGGCTTCTTGCTTGAAACTTCTAAGCTGCCTTTGTGCAGAAGGTGAAACTGAAAGAGCTCTGACACTATTTCAAGCACTCGAGGCATCAGGTCCTTGTAAGATGATGTACAGTGAACTTGTATATTTGTATTGCCGTGTTGGAGATATGAGAATGGCTAGGTGGGTTTTTGATAAAATGATTCTGAAAGGATTGACACCGGATGTCATTACCTACACGATGATGTTAAATGGTTATTGCAGAATCAATTGCTTGAAGGAAGCTCAATATCTTTTTAATGATATGAAAAATAGGGGTATCAAACCTGATATCATCACCTACACAGTTTTGCTTCATGAACGGTGTAGAGGGGATGATGTGTTGATCTTGAGTGAAATCATGGAGGCGGGTTTAATTCCTGATGTTATTTGCTACACTGTTATGATTGACAGGCGTTGTAAATCAGGCAACCTACGAGATGCTATTGACCTCTTTGATGAAATGATAGATAAAGGTCTCCAACCAAATACTGTGACATACACGGCTCTTGTATGTGGTTATTGTTCTCAGGGATATATGGAGAAGGCTGAAACACTTGTTGATGAGATGATATCAAAGGGGATCCAGCCTAACTCGCGAACAATGATAGCATTAAATACTGTGAAGGCCAAGAAAATGCAATTTAAGCGTTAAAACTCCTCTTTACAGGTTCGAAAATAAGCGTAGTAGCATATCATTTTGTGTTGGCAAAGTTACTGTTAAATGTCACTCCTCTTGTATGTGGCTATTGTTCTCAGGGATATAAGGAGAAGGCTGAAACACTTGTTGATGAGATGATATCAAAGGGGATCCAGCTGAACTCACGTGCATAGATAGCATTAAATACTGTGAAGGCCAAGAAAATGCAATTTAAGTGTTGGAGTTCTGTGATCATACATCACCACCACATCGGTGATTATCCCAAACCCGCCGGCGCAACTTGTGGTTTGATCTATTATTACAACTCCGACTACTTCACCAAAGGTTTGAAAAAACTGTTTGACATTCTTGATTGGTGTCCCATGAAATTCCATCAATGATCACCTTCCATGCTTCATTTCCATTCTGCACAAGCCTCACATTGATCACATCAAAATTAATAATTCATTTTGCAAGATTAAAATTTCAACAAACCAAACCTTTTTTTCATTTTCATTCCAATTCCCTGTCCTCTAATAAGTAATACCCCTAATCCATGATAGTACCAAAAGCAGCAGAACCTGGGAAAGTGCAATTTAAGCATTTACCTTTACAGTTTGAAGAGAACTATACATTATGCACTTTCGCTTACGCCTGTCTGTACCCTGTATCACAGGGTTGGGTTCCGATGAGAATGTAAGTCATGGTGAGAAGGGTAAGAAGGGATCTCCACCCTTGGATCAATCCTCATTGAAGATCAACACTAATGAGATGCGCCGGATCAATTCCCGTACTCAATTCATGGGGTGGGGAGTGATCAAGGGTCCGGATCCCTTCTTTCGCTTCTCTCTTAACTCCTATTCTCACACGATCCTTCGTCCAGTATCACAACCCTGAATGATGAAAATTGCATTAAATTTAGGTGGTTTTTACTTTTTATAGGGGTTCCATCATGCTGTTTATCTTATTTACATTGACATTTACAGATAACGGGACTAGCGAGTCCATACATGCTTATACACAAACTTGTTCATTTGTGAGGCTGGATCTTCAATAAGCAGCTGCTGGTTGCTACTCTTCTGCTCTCACTTTCCAGAAATATCATGTCTTGTTATTGGTTGTGGAACTCCATAATCTCCCGCGGATGATATCGAGTTGAGTAGTTGGTTCGCCATGCTCGTATGCATTTACCAGTTACCACAATCATGGTATACCAAACTTACCATACGATTTTGTATGTTGGAGTTCATTGATTTCTTATACTATTTCAGTATTCACTAAAATGAAATTTTATAATAGGAAAAAGGGCCATCAGCAAGAATTATGATTGCTTGGATATCCTGGGGTTCGAGTGTCTGAATGTTACATGGTTTTGGCTGGGATGAGAAAGCCACTGATGAAAGGTAAAGTCCTTTTTTTGAAGTATATAATATCTATACAAGGCAAATACTCGTGCCCACTCCTCACATTTGGCGATGTTTGACCCCTTGACCTTTTGAAAGGTCGGGTTCTACCGGTAACCCGAGAGTAAAGTTATCGTTTCTTCATAACCGGTTGACATTAGCAACAACTGACAACTCCTGTAATTATCTTTTTGATACATTTTGATTCATATTAATTCTTTGACACCAATAACAATTTCTTCAATAAACTATGTGTGGATTTTGATTCATGTTAACACGTCCACATGGTCGTCTTCATAATCATTTGGCATGAGTCGGTACCATCAATAATTTCTTTGATGCATTTTGATTCATCCTAATACTTCTAAAACTTATTATTTTATAAAAAGTTTGTTATAAATAAGTATTATGTGTAAAATTTGTTTAAAAGTTACTTTAAAAGTTTGATTGGATATTAAGGCATTGTTTGACAAACATAAGTTAGCTTATATTTTGAGTACATGTTTGGATAGATATAAGTTAACTTATTGAAAATCTAGGCCTTATTTGACTATATAAGTTAGCTTAAACCACAAGGGTGGTGCCTGATTGGTTTAAGCTTGGCTCCAAAGGTCAAAAGTACCAAGAGGTCTCAGGTTCAAATTCAAGGAGGAATAAAAATCCCCTTGTAGCCACGGAGGTTTAAATGCGGTGACTCCGGGCTATCTGCAAAGCAGGTGGTCGTCCTGAGATTAGTCAGCTCGCATAGCGGGTTGGATATCCAAGTTAATAAAAAAAAAAAATATATATATATATATATATATATATATATATATATATGTTAGCTTATTTTTTGAGTATTATGTTTGGATAAACTTAAACTAGCTTATTAAATAGTTGAAATAGCTTATGAGGAGCTTTTTGTTACTTTTTCCAATTATAATTCTCATTCATATTCATTATTATTTATTACTATTAATTATAAATAAATTCTCATTATTAATAAATAAAATAAATAAATACTCATCACTAATATTAACTAATTAAGAATTATTAATTACTTTTAGTTATACATTAATATTAATTATTAATCATATCAATTATTTTTTAATTGTTATTTAATATATTTAGTTATAAAAAATAAATATAACAATTCTAATAATGTCTATGTAAGTTACATAAAAATTAAGGTTATATTTATTTTGTTTCATAGATAATAAAATTGTGAATACAAAATTTTATTTTAATTATTAATTATAGTTTTTGAAAAGTTACTAATTAATTCAGATGATGTTGACCAATTTTAATTCATATTATATGTAATAGTTATTTGAAATCATAAACTAATACAAATTATTTCTAAAATTTGTTTTAACAAATTCAATATATATATATATATATATATATATATATATATATATATAAAAATCAATTTAAAAATTATTTTAGTTAACATATAATATTATTTTAATTTTTATTTACAATCTTGTTTAATATTAAATTTATTTTAATTATATCATTAAATATTATAATTGCCTAATTTTTCAAGATGTCATTTTTGATAATTTTACATAATTATTAACTAGTTTTGTCAAACATGATTTGTTCATCAACTAGTTTCGTCAATCATGATTTGTTCATCAACTAGTTTATCGGCTACCAGCTAACTTATCAGCCATCAACTAGTGTACCAAAACATAGCCTTAGTTGGAATAACTTATCAGAACTTATTATCAATTTTTCAAATTATAACTTTGATTAATACCAATTGTTATTTATCATTATTAATTATTAATAAATATTGATTATTAATTATAAATTAATATTAATTATAACTTATTAATTTTTAATATTAGTTTCAATTTATTAATTAATTTTAATGATTAATTAATATTAATATTGAATTACTATTAATCTTAAATGTAAATTATTCATTAGTATTATTTTTATATTATTATTATTCAATATATTCAATCGTCAGAAAAATATAACAATTTTAAAATTGCTTTTATAAGTTACAAAAAAATTAAAGTTATATGTTTTTTTGGTTTCATAAACAATAAAACTGGATATACATTTTAATAAAAATATTTAAGTTAATATTTTTAAATAAAATATTAATTACCTAGGGGTCGTTTACCAAACGCTTATTCGGTTAAGCGCTTACGAAGTCACATTACCTCACCGGATGAATATAGTAAAGACCAAAAATCTTATCCAGTAAGAGTGAGATAAGGACCAAGTTTTCTCGGTAAGTGAGTGTGACGACTCTTACCATGGTAAACACTTACCGGGTAAATTGTTGCATGCAATGTCGTTTTGGTGGACTAAAATTTTACACAATAAGTAAATAATAGAGTTAAATTTATCATTAAATTATCATTTAACGTTGATATTTTCTTAAAAAATTTAACATTAAATAAAGAATAAACCAAATTGAAATATATTATATTATTTCTTTTAACTTGTTTGTATTAATTAACATATTATATTGTTAATGAATTATTTTAAATATATTATAAAATGTTAAAATTTTAAACACCTATCTTTCAGTCATTTTACATTTTTCAACTAGTTTTGCCAAACATATTTAGTTTATCATCTAGTTTATCAGAGCATCTCCAACAAGTTCTCTAAAATAGAGAAGTAAAAGGTCAAAATCTCCAAAAAAGATCACCTTCATCTCCAACTGATTCTCTATTTTGGAGATCACACAATTACATTATTAAAATATTCAACACAACTCATAAGATATTATTTCATTATTATAAATATTTAATTCAAGCAATCTAATTGATAGAATGAATAAAAAATCATTTATCTCTCACAAGTAATCATTTTTGGAGAAATCTCAAAATTTAGAGAATTTCATCCTTTGCTTCTCATACTTTCTCCATTTTAGAGAAGTTTTTGAGGAATTTGTTGAAACAAATATCCCTAAAATCTCAATTTTATAGAATTTGTTGAAGATACTCTTAGTTACCTGTTAGATTATTAGACATTAAGAAGTTTACCAGAAATATGTTGAATTATTTTAATAATATAATTAAGAGTAAATTATAGATTTGGTCCCTATGATTTGGTGGTTTTTATGAAAATGGTCCATATTTATTATAGATTAAGACTCATCGTATGTCATTTTATAACGAATTGATCATTCCCTATAATAACGATCCAGTTCCTCCGCTAACCTTGAGGGCATTTTCGTTCTTTTCTTTATTTGTCTTTACTCGAGGAACTATCATAAAAACCCCACAAACCACATAAATCAAATATATAGTTAAGTCTAAAAAATAAAATAAAAATAAAAATTGTTTTATTGAGTTTATTAAATTAAGTAATTTATACATTAATATATGTCAATTATTATACCTTAAGTTTTATTTAATATACAATATATTTTAGAGAGAGAGAGTTCAGGGGAAAACGCTTAAAAAAGTGAAAAAGTGGAAAATCATGAAAAATGGATGAAAAATATATCAATGTGGTGGAACTAAATTTTGTTCGATTTTATTTATTTTTCCCTTTTTATGAATAAAAACTAAGGGTGGTGAGGTTTTTTTTAATTTAAAAAATATTGTTATAAATGTTCATTTAATCATACAGATTGAATCTATTAATCCAATGGTTGATAGGTGATTTTTCTCTAAAAGATTGAACCTCACTATGCGTGCACGTGTATATATTTACGTAATACATATTTTTTTGAAAGAAAATATATTATATATTAAAATTAAACTTAAAAGTATAATAATTAACTAATATATATTAAATTATAATAATTTAAGCTTAATTATGGTTTTGGTCCCTGCAATTTGTATGATCTTTATGAAATTGACCCCTCAAGTAAAGACAAAAAAAGGACAACAATACCCTTAAAGTTAACGGAGGAATTGGATGACCCTTATAGGAAATGATCAATTTGTTACAAAACGACATACGATGAGTGCTAATTCGTAAAAATCACCAAACCACAAGGGCCAACTCCGTAATTTACACTATAATTAATATTAGAAACCTTTAATATAGGAAACTGATGAATATTTTTTTATTTTTTAAAATTAGATTTATTTTCCAGAAAATATACTAAAAAATGATTGAAAATATATTAGTGCTGAAATCGTGATGAACGGGCAAAGTTGAAGAAGATAGCGGTGGCGGGGAAGAATCACCATAACATCGGGTCAAACCCGCGTCGGTTCCGACCACGTGTATGTTGTGCAGCATATTTGAAAGAATCACCTTCCTTTTTCGCAACCATTTTCTTGAATCTTTTCTAATTCTTTTATGGGGTCGGGGTTTTTGAAAGCGATGCTTCTAAATCACACTATTTGTCAGCTTCTTGAATCCCCAGTGGACCGACCTCTCTCACTTTCTCTTTCTAAAAACCACTTCCTCCGACTTTATTTGCCATAAATCAATTCAATTTTCATGGAAATTGGTGCTGTTCGGTTCAATCTGTTTGCTCCAAAAACTATTGCAGGTTGCCTTTTCTTGAACTTCCTACAATACCCAAATCGAAATCTTGAAATCTGATGGACCAAATCAACTGTTAGTTCTTTTTATTAGGGTTCTGAAATTCGTTTGTTTCATTTCATTCCATTTCAATTTCAAGTTTCCCATACATTCAAATGATTCCAGAATCATTATCTGCAAGCTCCGATTGTTCACGGATTTCATCACCACTCATTTGCCCATGTCAGAAACCAATCCAATTGATTTCTGGTTCTGGGACTAAACTTAACCCCTCCATTAGTATCAAAAAGATTTCCAGGAGAAGGAAAAGAGGTGTGGTTTGGGCTTGTGTGGTTCCCATTGACGGTCGGAACCAAACTTTGGGACTAGAGTTCGCAAATTCGGTCACAAGGGGTTTGAAAAACAGTGCTGTAAGGCGAATTTCTGATGAATTGGATGAAGCTAATGATTCAATCTCTGAAGATTCCATACAATTGGGTTATTCTAATGACTTTAATGGTTTTAGAGAAGACCCTATTGTAGGCAAACTAAGGACTCAACTTGGGGTGATTCATCCTATCCCTGCAATTCCTATCAATAGGAACATTGCTGGACTGTTTGTGTTCTTTTTCATTATTGGGGTTGTGTTTGATAAACTCTGGACATCAAGAAAGAAAATGAGCAATGATGATGGTGGGAAGCTGGGGATATGGCCACAGGTTCCCACAAGCTTTTCGCTTTTTCTTGAGAAGGATTTGCAGAGGAAAGAGTCTGTTGAGTGGGTGAACATGGTGTTGGGGAAGTTGTGGAAGGTTTATAGAGGTGGACTTGAGAGTTGGGTAACAGGTTTGCTTCAACCGGTTATCGATGACCTAAAGAAACCTGATTATGTAGAGAGAGTTGTAATAAAGCAATTCTCCCTTGGAGACGAGCCTTTTGTAGTTAGAAATGTGGAACGCAGAACTTCGCGTAGTGTCAACGATTTACAGTGAGTTTTCCCCAGTTTTATTGCTGTATTTTTCTTTCCAGATGCATTTTCTTGTGATTACCTCAGATGCTAAGAGTTAGAAGCTTTTTGGTCATTTAGTGTATAAAGATTCTTCAGATGGATTTAGTTTTGAATGATCTTTGCTGGAAATCGTAGTTGGTGCTCTAATAGATCTTTTCTTTTTATTATGCATATATCTTGTGGTTGTACCCAATGAAGGACATGCAAGAATGTTAAGAAGCAAAAGACACTGTTAATCTAGTAGCAGTTTATGATCCTTAAAATTGGCATCATATATGGTGTTTGTTTACACAGCTTGCAAATTTGGTATTTAAAGGATACTATGCTTTACTTAATTTCTTTCTGATATTATTATTTGAATTGAAGGTACCAAATAGGCCTCCGTTACACTGGTGGTGCTCGAATGCTTCTAATGCTGACACTGAAATTTGGGATTATTCCAATTAAGGTGCCTGTTGGCGTTCGAGATTTTGACATTGATGGAGAACTTTGGGTTAAACTGCGATTGATTCCAACAGAACCTTGGGTGGGAGCTGTTTCATGGGCTTTTGTCTCTCTTCCAAAAATAAAGTTCGAGTTGTCACCATTTCGGTTGTTTAATTTGATGGGTATGTCATTCTGTTATGTTCTTAATGATAGTTACTATTTGTTCCAAACCAAATCTATAGAAGATGTAACATACACCTAGTGGTCTTTGGCCCAATGGTAACGATGGATCTCTGCAGATTATCTGTTTGGAGACTTCAGTTGTGTCACGATGGATCTCTGCAGATTATCTGTTTGGAGACTTCAGTTGTGTCAGTTTGTTGACCGTTTCAAATGAAAAAAAAGATCAGATATCGTTAACTTAAGGTCTTGCACTAACATATGTTCATCTTTTTCCTCTTTCTTGCATGTATTTATGTGATACCAGCGATCCCTGTACTCTCGATGTAAGTGGCTTCTTCATATGATCATGGTTTCTCAGACATTATATTACTCTGTCCGTCCCAACAATGAAAAAAGCGCACAATTTTATAAATGTGTAATTATTAGACTTTTTAATGAACTAAATGACAATTCTACCCTTAGATAATAGAGGGAGTAATGAATTTATCCATCTCATAATTAAGGGTAGAACTGGAAATTGGGCACTTACTTTGCGACAAACCAAAATAGAAATGTGGAAACTCATTTTGGGATAAACTAAAATAGATGTGGAAACTTATTTTGGGACAGACGTAGTTTTTGGTATGATCTTATTCCAACGCTCTACGATTTCCTCTTGTATAATGTCTTTTCGTTCACTAACCGAGATTGATTCAATTGCTTTGGTGATTTAATGTCTAATTTTATGTTTTCTGGAATTTTTAGGTTTCTGAAAAAGCTTCTGACCGAGGATTTGCCTCGATTATTCGTGCGTCCTAAGAAGATTGTGTTGGATTTCCAGAAGGGGAAAGCAGTTGGTCCAGTACAAAATGATTTCAATTCAGCAGAAATGCAAGAAGGAAATAAAGATTTTGCTGGCGAACTTTCTGTCACTCTTGTTGATGCTCGGAAGCTCTCTTACATCTTGTATGGTGAGTATTGGTAATTTGTCACTTTTACGAGATTTTCATAAATGTCCACAGTGAAAAAGGCGCACGTTTTGTTACACTTTTTAATCAACTAAATCATGATTTTACCCACAAAATGAATTTCTCCATCTTGTAATTAAGGGTATAATTGGGAAGTAGACACTTACTTTTGAAAGTGGATACTTATTTAATAAGACGGAGGTACTATGGTGCATTGACCAGACTTTCTTATTCAGGAAAAACGGATCCATATGTTGAACTAAAGCTGGGAGATCAAGTCGTACACAGTAAAAAGAACAGTAAAACAACCGTCACCGGGCCTCCTGGCCAGCCAATATGGAATCAGGTGAGCATCTTGTAGCGTTACTCGTGTGTTCTTTATGACAATCTGAAGTTGATCACTGAAATTTGAGCTTCTTTGGCATATGGCAGGATTTCAGTATGCTAGTTACGAACCCAAGAAAACAGAAATTATCGATACAAGTAAAGGAATCTCTTGGATTTCTAGATTTGACCGTTGGCGCAGGAGAGGTAGCCTTTAGAAAATGCTGAATTTTATAATCTCTGTGTGTGTATATATGTATGTATGTAACTATGGTTCGCTATGATTTTCAAGAACATCCTTAGTTTTTCATATTCTGTTATGTCCCGTCTTATCCTTTGTACCAAGCGCATCCTAAATGGTTCAAACTTTGCCTTTTCAGGTTGACCTGGGATCTTTAGAAGATACAGTACCGACAGACAGGATTGTGACCCTCCAAGGAGGTTGGGGACTGTGGAGAAAGGGATCTGCTGGAGAGATCCTACTTCGACTCACATATAAAGCCTATGTTGAAGATGAAGAAGATGAAAAAAGTGCATCAGATGATGAGTTCTTCGAACTACAATCAGATGCTACTATATACGACCCTTCATCACGTGGGACAGATAAAGAATCCTTCATGGATGTTTTAGCAGCGTTAATTGTCAGTGAAGAATTTCAAGGAATAGTGGCTTCCGAAACAGCAAGTAGTAAATCTTCCAATAGTTCATCAGATATGAGGTCAACAACGTCCCCTCGTGCAGTTGGTTCACCCAATTCCGACACTGGTTCTGGCCCTTTTGAAGGTATTCACCGTGCTTCACCAGTTCTGGTTCATTACTTTTTGAAGTCAATAATATTTTATATATCGCCAAATACTCAATGAACCCTTGACCTCCTAGGAGGCTGGGCTCTACTGTAACCTGGATACGGCTGGGCCAATGGCCCTTTGGAAGTACTGGTGTTCTGTTTGACCAACTATACATTTGTTTGCAGGATCGGCCTTATTCTGGCTTGGCGTGATCACATGTATCGCAATACTTGCAACCATTAACATGGGTGGCTCAAATATCTTCAATCCTTGAAGCAATTCACATGGTTTTTACAGTATCAAAAAGTCTTGTTGATTCAAGAAATGTTCGTATCGGATTTTTTTTTGACACAGACCCTCGAAGGTTTTAGCAAGTTACAACAGAATCAGATGTCTGTTAAGAATTCAGGCGAAGAAGACGACACAGGAAGTGATAACAAGAAGGAAGAGTCGGAAAACCAGCAGATTAGTATTGAATCCGCCATTGATGAGGAATCATAGAACTTGAAGTATTTATGATTACCCAAAAGAAGATTCAGTTTTTGTGCACCATCAATTTCATTTCTCCCAAAAAGAAAGGGAACAGAAGGAAGAACAGCCGTCCAAAAGCAGAACACATGACCACTTATTCAAACTGGATTGCCGTCCAAAGATAAAGAAAAAATAGCACGAGGAATTCAAACACGTCGAAAACAAAAAGAAAAGACGCGTACCCATTTCATTTTCGGCCGTGCGCTCTGCGAAAACGAAAGCGGTGGGGTCCAGCAGAGTTGGACATTTCTTGCAGACAAATGCTGTTTTAGACATGTTCATGGCCTTAGTTTATTGGCAGCGTTTCACCTAAACCTGCTTGGCGCATGTGATGCATAAAGTTGGACATTTTAAATTGAGACGTTGGAAAAGAGAGGTTGACTTTCATACTTGATGAGTTCATATTCTGATCCAACATTTTCTGGTTTGTTTGCATAATTATGAAGTATATATAGCGTATAAATGTCGGGTTCGAATCGTATGTTTGTGGTTTCCTAACGAATTACAAAGGACTCGCATAAATGTTGGTTTTCTTTGATCACTTCTGATATATGATACTGAATGATTTGGTAGCAGATTATGTATGATTTGATGTATAACGAAAAATAACTGTTTGGCAAGTATTTTGAACGAAAAGTTCAAAAGCTATCAAGTTTAATTTTTTATATGATGGTTTAGCCGCGAATGAAATAAGACAAATTTCAAATAAAATTTGAATACAAAAATATTGAAATTGAAAACTTGAATGAGTACAAGATCATGAGAATGGATGGTATAGAATATGTGTAGAATCACAGTCATGAAATTTGTCGACAAAAACAAAAACATCACTTTCCCATAAAATAGATGCATTCTTCTTTTCCTTTTGCCTCTTTAATCTTGTCATATTCTTGCCTCACAATGTCGCCATTTATGGTAGCGTAAAAGCAAAACAAAAAATACGTTAACGATCATTGTACGTATAAATTACAGACCGTATGCATCAAACGGTACCTAAAACTGTATGTACTTTGTATGGCTCAACATGTTTCTTTTTGAAGCATATAATATTTATATACGACTAATAAACTCACACATCCTGTTGAGGTATGAAACCTAACTATTTATGATTCAAATTATAGAAAAAATGATGTATATATTGATAAAGATCAGATGTAGTCAAAGACGATCGAACACTTTGTCATTTGGCATGTTCTCCAAGATCTTACTTGCCCATTTCTTTAAGTCCAAATACGAATATTTCACCCCCTTTTTTCCTTCTTGCGTAATGGTCGTAGCTAGTTTGGATCCATCGATCTTTTCTTTCTGCCATTCCCACACACACTCTCACACACACACACACACACACACACACACACATATATATATATATATATATATATATTCTTTTTTAACATTATTAGGTGCCATATATCGATCTCTGGTCGTAACCCTGTGTAGACTTGGTCCTATTTGTCCCAATGCAATTCCAACTTCCAAGACTGCAAATTGTTGACATTTGTCACCATTTGGAAGCATTCCTCTTTCCTTCGTTCGTTTTTCAATCTCTATAAATTATCAAAAACCCATCTCATATTTCACGTTTTGTTGTTTTCTTCTTGGAGTTTCTCTCAAAACCATCACTATAAACACCCCTCTTTCACCTCCTGTACTTGTACTACTCGTTCCTCTTTTCTTTATTAAGTCTTACAAAACAAACACTCGTGCACCACATCAGAAACCAAATCGTGTGTGAAAATGATTGAATCCAATCAGAACCCACCTCTCCTCCATAACTACACTCAGCTCCTGAAACAGCTTCCAGTTGCTGATCATGGAGTTAACGTAAAACGACCGTTTGATCACGGTGAAACGGAGATCATGCAAGAATGTGAGCTTCCACTTGTGGATCTTTGCCGTTTATGGAGCGAGAACGAGGAGGAGCGGGCCTCTTGTGCTTCGGAGATTTGTAAGGCTTCGGCTGAATGGGGTTTCTTTCAGATTGTTAACCATGGAATTGGTCTTGACCTTTTGAGGAAGATGAGGATGAAGCAAATGGAGCTTTTTAAGGCACCATTTGAGCGAAAAGCCTCTTCTGGGCTTCTTGATAACTCGTATAGATGGGGAAACCGTACCGCTACTTGTCCCAACCAATTATCATGGTGTGAAGCTTTTCATGTTCCTCTTACAAAGATTTCTGATGGTGCTTGCTATGGCGAATTCAACTCTTTGAGGTAGCAATGGCTCTCTTTCTATTCACTTATATATATACATACATACATATATCTATCTATCTATATATATATATACATACATATAAAGAGTAAATATCATTTGAAAAGGTAAGAATAAAAGTTTCAAATTTTCACTTGAAAACATATATGTGAACTTGACACATGTATTTCCAGAATTTTTCAATGGATTCACATATAAACCGTCCTTTAACGTTACTTTCTACCTTTTCATGATATTCCACCTCACTACTCGAACCGAACCCTATGTATATATAATATATTCTTTTATCGTTATATCATGCTTAATCTTCATTTTCAAGAACATTAAACGATTCAAGTTGACATCTTTCTTGCATAAACACAACATACGACAATTATATACGTTTTCTTTCATACATCAAACGTTAAATCTCACACTCGGATGTCGTTTCTTGGCTTTTCGTCGAAAAAAACACAACACTAACCATAAGGGTGGTGCCTGATTGGTTTGAGCTTGACTCCAAATGTCAAAAGTACCAGGAGTTCTTAGGTTCAAATCTAAAGAGGAATAAAAATCCCCTTGTGACCATGGAGGTTCAAATACAGTGACTCCGAACTATCTGCAAAGCAGGTGGTCGTCCTGGGATTATCGGGTTGGATATCCAGGTTAATTAAAAAAAAACACAAAACCTGTAAAGAAGAATTCGAAATGCAAAACCATAATATCTTTTCCTGATCAGATCATTGTAAAGTTCCATAACATCCGAAAATGGGAAAAAAACAATTCTCTGTCGGGTTTAATGTATTTTTTTTTCAATTTTTTAAATGTTTTATATAAGTTAAGGACGACTTTTGTTTCGTAATATTCTTATATTTTTCTATTATTATAATAAATTAAAGTTTATTTATGGATTAATATTTCAATTAATAATTTAGGTAGAATAATTTTTTTGAAAAAGAATCGAAGCAGATAATTTAAATTAAAATAATATTATTATAAACGGCTAAAAATAATGGAACTATGGAATATATTGTTCTTTTACATATACATTCATTTAATTTGTTCCATAGCTAACTATATATTATGATATAGGCCAAAACCACTAGGCAAAGATGTCTCCCATAACAACAAACGAATATCCAAAATTATCGATTAAAATTTAACGAAAAATAATACGATTACGACTTTTTTTTTTTTACAGAGAAGTGATGCAGGAATACGCGGGTGCAATGCAAGAGCTCGCGAAATCGATAGCCGGAGTGTTGGTAACGAATATGGGGGTAAAACGAGGGTTGTGGGAAGACGACTGCAATGCGGGCACGTGTTTCCTGCGGCTGAACCGATATCCACCGTGCCCGATCTCTCCGGAGGTTTTCGGGCTCGTGCCGCATACGGACAGCGATTTCTTAACCATTTTGCACCAAGATGAACATGTTGGTGGGCTTCAACTCATGAAAGATTCCAAATGGGTGGCGGTGAAACCCAACCCTGATGCCCTTGTTGTCAACATCGGTGATCTATTTCAGGTATATTTTCTTTACTTTTTGCATGTGGAGGGTGAACCCATTTTTTGGCCCCTTAAGTACTATGCAACTAGCATATAAAATCTTTTGATAGTAATGGGAATAAAACGTCGTAAAGATGTTATCGATCCGACCGGTTAGGACTTCCGCATGTGTTTATTTGAACGATGTACTTTAAAGTCATCCGGGGATGGGGAATCAAATCTAAACGCATTTTCGTGGATACGACTTTGAGCATCTTAATTAATTAGTTCGATGGATATATTCGTGTAATTTAAAAAGTTAGAAACGACAAACACCCTAAAGTTTTGGAATCAGGTATGCATATAAACTACTACAAACAAAATCAGGTTTATAAGATACCAATTTGACGTCTTGTAAACTCAATTTTGTTGTTGTGAACATATCGTATCCATGTAACGTCTTTAAGCATATACGATCAAGATTTCATCTTTCGGAAACATATATCATATTCGATTCGACATACAACATTTAGAGTTGAAGATTCGATCTTTAGCCATTGACATGAAACCACAAGTCAACTAATGGCAGGTATAATAATCTGAGAGAGAGAGGGTATATGTTATATTTATATTCGACCAAAAAGTATGATACAATAATCACTGAATCATATAATAAGGAAACATTGTAACGATTTTTTAATTCGAAGCTACGAATTCGATGAATCATATGACAAACTATACGAAATTTGCAGGCCTGGAGCAACGACGTTTACAAGAGCGTGGAGCACAAAGTAACGGTAAATAGGGAAGCCGAGAGACACTCGATAGCCTATTTCTTGTGCCCTTCTTACGAGTCGTTCATTGGTTGTTGCAAAGAAGAAAGTTCGATTTATAAAAAGTTCACGTTTGGAGAATACCGAAGCCAGATTCAGCACGACGTTAAAGACTACGGACACAAAGTTGGCCTTCCAAGATTTCTTGTTTCTACTTGAGACAGATCGGCCCGCAAATCTGATAGCACCACTTGAGGTCCGTTTCATCGGGTGGTTAGAACATCGTCTTTTCATGTCGAAGACACGGGTTCGAGGGAGGGGGATTAAATTATTTCTTTTGTCATATAAAATTATATATCTCTGTAACATCCCATATAAAATGAGGGTGACCAAGTTTAAGTTAAGAAGTTGCAACCTTAATTTATAGACAACAATGCTGAACAATTCAGACCCAACACTAACACAATGAATACGTAATAAACAATCGATGAGAACGTGACAGATACTTATTGACTTAACGACTTATCTGCTTTTAAAATCTCGATCCATTTTAAAAAATTATCATCTACTGATCGAAATTCATGTTGTCTAAAATATGAACAAATGAAAGCAAATTTGATTGGTTTGATCTTGATTTTACGATGTTTTGATTGCTATTGAACTCAAGAGTCGTTTGATTGCAGAACGAAGCAAACAATTTACGTATTATTCTTTAATTTCAAAGTTGTACGTATTTATTCTATTATCTGTCGAAAGATGTATAGAAGTTTCAACAAAGACAGTACACGGAAATAGATGTGGCAATAAGGACCACTTTTATTAGATAACTGATATCGTATTGGTAAAAAATGATCTTATAGTAAATAAGAACTATCTAGAACAATGACAATTTTTTTTAAAGATCTGTCTAATATCCGTCGACATTTATATTTTCAGAAAATAATGTCATTACATTAAAAGTGAATTATTGATTTGGTCCTTGTGGTTTGATGTTTTTTTACTATGTTCTCTTTTGTATGTTTATTGTAGATTTGGTTCTTGTGGTATTCAATTTGTTTTGGTTATGGTCTTTCTAACTAACATTTATGTTAACTCTATTAAATTAAGGGTCATTTTAGCTTTTTGCTTATTCTTTTGACTTTTTTCCTATAAAAAGGTAAAAACAATATTAAATTTTATACACAAATGTGTGTGTATATATATATATATATATATATATATATATATA